CGAACAAATCCGATTTATATTTTTTTACTTAATTTTGTTTAATATTCTTCCACGAAAATGAATTCGCAAATCCCAGTTTCGGATAGAGCACTCAAAAAACATATAGAATAGAAGAAATCAAAACTATCCCAAAGCTTTCGTGCTAAGGATTTTTTTAGCATAATTTCAGTATGAGTAAACTATAATAAGATACATCTAGGATATAGTATAATGTTTATAATGTTTAGTCAGATATTGTGATAAGTTTAGTCAGCTAATGTGTTAATGTGGAAATTGAGATTACCGATTAATTATTGAACTGGATATTCGTTACTATTTGTTTAGATTACTGTTTTTAAATATTTTAGTTGCTGTCGTGGCGCCCCTCGTTTCCGGCGCCCCGGGCGGCCACCCGGGTCGCCCGGCCCTTCCGCCGGCCTTGGTTAGTATACGACATAAATTAGGATTAATTGACGTATTCAATTGTTTTTGGTCACTTCGTGTTTCACCGGAAATTACTACAACTTTTTATTTTTTGTTTGCCAAAAAAACAACAACCGTAGACTAAGATTGAACCAAGAGAAGAATAATTTTGAAGTATCTTTAAGTAAAAATTAATTGTTAAAGTAGCATAAATATGCTTAGTTGTAGTTAAAGTATAGTATTGAAAGAAAGAGAGATAACTAAATGGGGGGGGGGGCGCCAGATATGGTACTTGCCCGGGCTCAATATTTTCCTTCCGCCGGCCCTGGAAGGAGGCTACACCATAATTATTGGAAATGGTTGAATAAGCTGAAAATTATGATGATGATGATATTTGTAAATTATGTGTATAGTACGAGTATTAGTATTAGACCCGTACTTTTGATCCTTGCAATTAACTTTAGTTTGATGTGTTTCTGCATAAATTCTAATTTTAAAATATCTAAAGCATTTTTAGTATTTCAATTGTTTTTTCCTCTACTTATATGGGAATTTAATAGTCTATTTAAATTCTAATAGCATCGCTGTATATGCATGACGAGGCGTAGGCTGTAAGAGAGTGCTATAATCGTAAAGTGCTGTAATATAGCTTTATAGTTTTCTTTATTTATTCTACAGAGTATTTTCCAATTCATATATTCGTTTTTTTTTCAACGGAGAAAGCCATTAGTATCCAGTTCTATTTTATTTGTCCTTTTTATTGTAAGATTCTTTTTAACCAAACTCCACCAAGTGTAAACTTTAGTTTAAACTGGAGATTTTTTCGTTTAATTTAATTTTATACATGTCATTTCAATAATCATAGAAAATATATTTTATCCTAATGCTTCTTTTTTTTGCACAGAGGTTATTGGTGGCGTATATGGAATTGTTTTCATGTTTCTTCTATACGAGCGTGAAACCTGCAAAAAGTTAAAATAATTCATCAAATAACTCCTCCATGTCAATAAATCACAATTAAATGAAAACTTTTCTGAGATATTTTTAAAATAGTGAATAAGAAAAGAGCAAACTTCATTAGGTACCTTTGCAGCAGTTCCTTCATGATATACGTAAAATTAATATAGGCGAGTTTTGTCTTAAGATTCTATTAAGGCCGACTCAGACACGCATGCTTTTCGTCCGTTTTGCTTGCACAGTCATAAGTTGCAATGCAACACTGAACGCTGACAATCCTTCATACACTCCGTCTTACACTCCGTCTTAACGTGCAGTTTTCTCTTCAGTCGTCAGTCTTCAGCTTTCAGAATAAACATGGACCGTCAAAAATTAGCTGTTTGTGCAGCAGCAGTCTTGATCATAAAAAAGAAAAAAAAGGAGAGACCCCGAAAAATACCATATAAAAAAAACCATAATAAATACCATATTGTAAACTATTTAATATTTCACTTAAAAAGTTAATTTGCATTGAATAATTGCCAACCATTAAAGGAAATTTGAGCTATATAATCCTTGATGGGCATATTCTGGATATGCAAATACTTTTTTTTTAAATAAGACGTAATGCAAGACTGAAGACCAATCAGACTCAACGTTTTTTTCGCAAGCAAGTTGGAACGCGAACGAAAAATCAACCCGCGGCTGATTGCGTTCAAGCCAGTCAATTGACGGTACACGATAAACAAAACGGACGACTTGATGCTTCACACACACCGTCTTGCATAGGAACTTAAGACTGTGCAAGCAAAACGGACGAAAAGCATGCGTGTCTGAGGCGGCCTTTACGCTGTACTGTTCGGGTTGCTCTCAGGGGTCGGGTAAAGCGGGTGTGTGGCCGAAGGAAATATATATTTCAGAAATCTGTTTAAGGCTTAGCCCGATCCTGTCGTGTTAAGCCACACCCAAAATTCCAAACACACGTGCTTGGAAGAGGCTCCATTAAAATTTGCAGAGCTTCAGAATTTGCCATAAAATAGAAAGCAATTTGTTAGAAAACCATATAAATTATATGTAACTGTAATCACAAAACTTTAATCTATTTCCGTATTTTAACGGAATTTTAAATTATGTCTTTATTTTCTAGAAAATTTAGTCCAAACATAAGGAATATTTTGTTGATGTTTGACCATCAAAATCTTAAAAACAAAGAAGTTGTCTAAAAATGTACTACAATACGGATATTATTTTATTTTAAGTCTATGACGGATATAGTATAATCCTTTATCTTTAATTTCCTTCTTCATTTGTGTAAAATACCTACCCAGTTTTACACAAAACGTTAAATGCCGAACGCTTATTTTGCTACTTTTTCGGACTAGTGAAATGGACTCTTAAGTCATGTATACAAACAACCAGTTGCCTCAAATAGAATGCTTAAATAAGGATATTAACTAGTCAACTGTGGATATGGGCTTGGTGCATTCTCCGACGACGCTGCCCCCATCGGAGAATAGGGTTGCCCAATTCAAAGTCGTTTCTACTACTTTATACGGGTCCGTCAACAGTGCATCGAGCATCTGTAGCTCCTATAATAAAAAACTTAGGAATTTTTTATAAGTGCAAACCTAAAGTATGTACTAGAATGTATTTCAGGAAAATATTTTAACTTCTACGGGGTGGCTCAAAGAAGTGTAAGTGATTATTAAGAGTAATTATCCCGATCGGATAATTTTTTAATGGGACACCTTGTATATTATTAGATTTTTGGCTTCCTTTCTGATCATTTTACATGATCGTAAAATATTATTAAATATGTTTCTTCAAGAAATGTCTTGAAATCAAAACTATAAAACTATAGTTGGTCTGTACTTACTTTGCTATAAATATCGTAATCTTATGCTATAAATATTCAAATATTGTAACCAAACAGTGGATGTTCCAAATTCTATGACAAACTTTCTAAAATATAAAATAGTTTTTCTACGTTTTTTTTTAATGGAGCGCCTTGCATATTATTTTTTTGTTAGATGGAGAATTAAAAAATAAACATTTTTTGTATTTAAAGCATTTTAAAATTTTTAGCGGTTCCATTTAAAAAAAAACGAAGAAAAGCTGTTTTGTAATTTAGAAAATTCGCATTGAATTAACACTCTGTATGGTTTAAGATTAAAATATTTATTGCAAAGTAAGTACAAACTACTAACTAAAGCAACTACCTAGTATAGTTTTGATTTCATTTTTAGCGGTTCCATTTAAAAAAAAACGAAGAAAAGCTGTTTTATAATTTAGAAAATTGGCATTGAATTTAGAACACTCTGTATGGTTTAAGATTAAAATATTTATTGCAAAGTAAGTACAAACTACTAACTAAAGCAACTACCTAGTATAGTTTTGATTTCAAATAAAAAATATATTTTTATGAAAAAAGGAAGCGAATTTTTTCAGTGATTTTACTCCATAATAGTGTTTTAACCAAAGTTTCAGTACATATGAAATATAAATGCAAACTTACTTATTACTTATACCGTATGATCGAGAAAAAAACGGCGTCCAGTTGGCTATTTACATATAAAATGACAGCGATCTTCATTTCATAGCCATCGCTGACGCCGTTTATTTTCGATCATACGGTATATTACAATATACCGTAGGTATATACATCTGGAGTCCTCTCTGGTACGTTTTCCCCTTATAATTTATGTACGGTAGAAACTTTACTCTTGACTATTTGATTTTTCACCTTTTTTCTATTCTATATTGACGATTATTCACTTGCATTACTACTTGAAGTCGAAGACATAATGTTTTAAAACTGTTTCAGTCAAAAATAAATCTTCATCAAACAAGTGCGCAGGCAAACTAAACAACTGAAGTACAGAATTACAAAAACAACTGAACAATGCGAAAGACGTTTGAGAAACCCTATTAGAGTTGATTGAAGAAATAAGAATCAAAACCATCAAAACCAAATCCAATTCTTTCAATCAATGCTATTAATCAATGATTTATTGGGTTTCCCTATTAAACGAAATGTTCTTCATAAAATAGCAAGCATTGAAAAAGCAAATGAGATAATAACCTTTACTCTAATCGTTGATTCTGTACGTTCGTAGTACTGTACGTCTGCTGGATCTGTGTCTATGAAAGGAATGCGGACAAAAAACAATTAAATAAACAATAATATATTTGATACGTCGACTTGACGAGTACGTCACCGCAAATCGCTCCGCCCACTCATTTTATTGGCTACTTGCAAATTTGTCGAATTTTTATTGATGGGACGCGTCGTCTAATTTTTTACGAAAAACATCGAGAGAATATCGTTTCCCCTCTCACGGATACCCGGTAGCTACAGAACGGACAGACGTCCTGTAGGTACTGTTCGGATTCGGCGTTAAAACGTAGGTTCAGTGTTTGTGTGAAATTCTGATGTCACATCGCAAGGACAAAATTTTTTAGGCATTTTAGAAGTCCTTGTTTTTCTAACATACCTACTGTAGTACTATATATTTTTAGCTATGTCCTGTGCTACATTACAAGCAACTATATTAAATTTCGGTTTTCACTTGAAAAAATAAACACCGATGTGATAAAAATATACATACATAACGAAGTAATTGCTGGCAACCCTATAAATAATTTTATGTCTTTTTTTATAGTTTTAGCAACACGAAAAAGTAATTTGGTTTCCGGACGACGGCGACGCAGATATCTTTTCAAAAATAAAAATGTGGATTTGGATCACGTGACGTTCAATTCTACAACTACCACCGTAAGTAAGTATTTATAGCGACCTATTAACAAAGACCCTATCAACCATATTTTATAATTATTTGAACCTGAGTTAGTTAGCTGCAGTAATTTCATAAGAAAATATACGCATACATAATATTTCACATCGATTCTACTAGTAGGGGAACTCAAGGAGGGCTTTTATAGTTAAGTACCTGTTAAGTATCCCCACTATGTAATTATCGCGACCTTACAGATCTATTGTGCCCCACTTTCTTGACTTATTATAACTCATCATACCTTGGGGCATTGACAAAAGCCAGTATCGGCAGACGCCAATAATAGACGATCTTTTTGAAAATGTATCACTTTCTATGCGTTTAAGGCAAGGCTATGGCACTCTGTTTAATATCATTATGGATCACATACAATATGAAACTCTTGGACATTGGATGTAGATGTAGATTGTATTGGAGGGGGGGGGGGAGTTAATCACTGCGATCTTATAGATGTATTGCGTCCCCCTTTCTTGACTCATCATACAGTCTCAGGGCTTTGACGAAAGCCACTGTCTGAGGCTCTTACTTAGGCTTTTAGGTTAGTCCTCCATCCCCGATATCAGTGGTACCAAAGTTTATGGCACTAATGTTTGTCGTCTCGGCGCACTCAGTGATGAGGTCTTCTGGTGTTTCCCCATTTTCGGCCATTTTCTGAACTTCATTGTAGTGAGGTATTCATTGACGAGAATGAGTCCCTCGCCATACATGCACCTTTTATATCATTTTAAATCATTAAAGAATCATGGCAAAACATAATGTGTCGATTTCCACAAGCCGAAGTAGCTAAAATCATCGATAAAGTGTGGCGCTGTATATATTTCTAAAAAAACTGCCATGAGTTTTGGTAGCCTATAAATCGCCTGTCTTTTAAATAAGACCTTCTTTAGGGTTCACTAACCATACCTTTTGAATATCTGATGCGCTCAAATTTTTCATTTTCTATCCCTTCGTATACAATATGAACCACCCCAACTCAACCCACCCCTACAATGCAAATCTGCAGATTAATATCCAACCGTTATCAGAAACACAGTGCTGCGCATGCACTTTTAATAGCTTTTTTTTAAAGATGGGAAAAGCCATCTACGGCCGGGGTGAGGCTTAACTCTAACCCGAGTCCTGGGGTCATTTCTTCACGAGAAGCCACTGTCCATGTTGCATTAGGTTCTACCTCTTTCGTCCAACTGCTTTCTTTTCATTATGTCTCTCAACATTTTCCAGACAGCCTTACATTTCTCCGACTCCATCATAAGGTCTCCGACATTCTCGCAAATATGCTCGCTAATTATGGTTGAAAATGTCATAGGTTGACATATGATCTGTCATTCTATTCTTTCAATTAATTCAGAATCTCATTTTCAACTAAAGTAAAAATTACCGAAGGAACTATTTATGAATTAAAAGTGGTAGTCATTTAACGGTGAAACAGGAAGTGACCGAAAACAATTGCATACGTCAGTCAATCCCTTTGGTCAATCCCAATTTATATCATACAGGGTGAGTCTCAAATAAGTGCAAATATTTTTAGAGGTGGTATATTTCGACTCCAGAAACATGTATATGCATTTTTTTTTAATTTTTAGTTAAACATACATAATATCATGATGTCATTGCAACATAGGTAACTAAATTTTCCAAAACTAAAACCCCGAAAAAATCCAGTGGTTCATAAAATATGAGCAAAAAATTTATTTTTTAAATTTTCAAAGTAAAATAACTCGGTTATTTTGGAGTTATCTGAAAAACGGTAAAGAGAAATATGTATCTTTTGTCGAGATCTACCAGCCTTGAAAATATTTATACTTATTTAAGACTCCCCAAGACTCTGGTTTGGAAATAATAAACAATGACATTAACAATTATGACATTGCATGTAAAATATCATCGATTTTTTTTTCATATACTATTAAATGTAAATAATTCGGTATATTTCAATTACACTATTACGCCTTAACGACTGACGCCGCCTTGGCATTTTGTCAAGAGCGCGCCGAGCGCGAGCCAATTTTTAAACATTGGGGAAACCACAAATTGCTTTTGCATCAAACTTGTCGAATGGCGGGTTAAATTTATTATTTTGTTTTGGTCGGTACCGAATTGTAATTGTTCAGTACATAAATAGAAATTGTAAAATTCAGTAGCTAATTTATCAAGTTGATAATGCCTTATAGGCTTGGTGCATTCTCCGCCGGTGCTGCCACCATCGGAGAATATCGTAAACAACTAATATAATATACAAATACACGAGTTTAAATGGCGAGTAAAAACTGGACTTTTAATCAACTACTTAGGTTTAAACATTTGCTGATGATGCTAATATGGTTAGCGCAACGCTCGTCAAGTGCAAAAGTAAACTATTTTGGTTTATTGTGGTAAATTAGTGTTAGTTTATTGAGTATATTACATATTAAGTGGGTATATACAGTTTGACCTAGTGCTCATAAAAAGCTTTGTGCTAGGTTTCCAATTTGAAAAAAAATTTGGCAATTGCACGGCGCCATAAAAGAATAACCTACCATTTCAATTACTAAGTAAATCTAAACAATGCACTTAAGAATAAAGTGTTTTAATTAGCAGAATATCGTACCGTGCAATTGTCAAGTCATTACAATTATTACAATTTATAACAAAATTGTTGAACAAGTGCTTAAAGAAAAAGTAAATAAAATAAACTGACGTTTTACATGAGATCTCAAACTTTTTATAGTGGAAGAATGAAGAATTGCGTTGCGAGATTTGGCTTGTTTACATTCTATGTTTTTGATGGGATAGACAATAGACAATAAATTTAATTGTTTTTAATTGTTTTAGATAATGAAGGACTCGACTGAATTAATACTGGAGGGTTCCAGATTCTGGTTCCAAAAGGTTCTGGTGCCTATAATGGTTTGTCTTGGAGTAACAGGAAATACAATCACTGTAATGGTATTAACAAGGTAATAGTTTTTTCTATATTTCTATTTTATAAAGTTATTTATATACAGGGCGTCCCAGGCAGAGCGTGCATTAAAAGTTTCTAAAGAACCACAATATCTAGAATTTAGACGGAGATTTTTTGAACATCATTGTTTTACAACGAGATCTATCGATTAAAATATTTTCAATATAGCGGCACTTCCGGAAATACCGGAAGTTGACAGCAACTTTCTTATTTTAAATGAGTGTCCCCATTTTTTATTACATACTTAAATTCTCTGTATAATTCTATGAATATTGATATTAAATACTCTATGCCTAACATTAACCGTTTTTGAGAAAAAAATATTTAAAATTTTTGGACGAAAAAAACTAACCGTCAAAAATATTTGTATAGCCTAAGGGTGCATCCACACTATCCTAAAAACGGCGTAACGACCTTGAATCGATTTCCAGTAATTCTATTGGCTGAAATTTTTGACAGATAAATTTGACAGATAAAATTTCTGACAGATGAATTTTTCAGCCAATAGAATTACTGGAAATCTATTCAAGGTCGTTACGCCGTTATGCCGATAAGCCGTTTTTAGGATAGTGTGGATGCACCCTAAAAGTCAAATTTAGTGATTACCACAGCCACTGCGACACAAATAGAAGACATGTGGCTATCTATTTCAAAAATTAAATTGTTCAAATGTCGTATAATAATGGCGGTAGCTGTCATGGAATTGAGCTATTAAAAAATTATCATATACCTAAATATTTTTTTCCAAGGGAAATCCACTTTTTTTATTTCGCTAGTGAAAAGGTTTTCCAATTCGTTATTTTTTGAGTATATACATGTTCCTATACCTAAAATAAATCGTTTTTAAGTTATTTAAGATTTAGTTTATTTTTCTTGATTTTATCTAGCTTCCTTTGACATTAAGTGTCAAGCAGTCAGACAGTTTATTTCCATCTGTCAGAGAACGAATTATTTGAATTTCCTATATTATAAATACTGCTTGCCCTAAAAGTTTAAAAAGTCTATTTATAAAAATATATTTCGTATTTTCGCTCTTTAGTGATATCTGATAGTTGATATTAATAATATACCGAATGATCGAAAAAAAAAACAACGCAAAGTTGGCTTGGAAATGATGATCGATAACATACTGCTTTTTGAACAAAGTGTCACAATATGACATGGATAGACGTTTAAAGTCATAGGTTACTGTTAAAATCAAAGAAATATACCTACGCTTTAAAACTAAATCTTAAAGAACTTATTTAAAACAATTTATTTTAAGTATAGGAACATATATAGTCAAAAAGTAACGAAATGAACACATAAAATAATAAATACATAATTTTTTATATTAACAAATACTATACCTAACATTAATCGTTTTTTTCTCAAAAACGGTTAATGTTAGGTATAGAGTGTTTAACATGAATATTCATAGAATTATACAGAGAATTTAAGTATGTAATAAAAAAAACGAGCAACCAAGGCAACCACTTAAAATAAGGAAGTTGCTGTCAACTTCCGGTATTTCCGGAAGTGCCTCCATATTGAAAATATATTTAATCGATAGATCTCGTCAAAAATTTCTAGATATTGTAGTTCTATAGAAACTTCTAATGCACGCTCAGTCTGGGTCACCCTGTATAGCTATTTCTATTCGGATTTAAAGTATAAATTGAATATTTAATTACTTATGATAATGTGTGGTTTGGTTTGGTTAAAAAAATAACGCAATTTTTTTCTTTGATCACAACGACGCGCTACGGACATATCCAACAAGAATAGAGAAAATAAGACACACTAGAATAGTGTTTACTACACCAAACAATAGTGTTTTTAAAGGGTAATAGTGTTTTTTTTATTTTGTGTCATTTGAAGGGCCCAGGGGAAAAACATAATAACCACCACTATACGGTGGCGGTTTTCAGGATCTTTCCGCGTCTTCTATATTTTTACTAGGCATATATCATAGGATTTAACATCTTATTGCCCTGTAGAGTTTATACATTTTGTAGGGACCAGGTAGAGCTACTATAATATTGTAAAATCCTAAAATTAAGAAATTGGCGCTTATCAAGTTTTTCCCACGAACCCTTCATTTAATACAATGACTAAAGAATATAAAGACATGTGTAACGCCCATATACGGGCTGCAGCAGAATTTGTGCAATGTTATACGCCATTTTTTTGGATGTAACGAATGAGTCATCAGCTGGTCATCAGCGACAATTTTAGCGATTTTTAACAGTTTGTGCGTAGTGAACTTTGTATAAACTTTATTACAATGGTGATTAGTTGTTCAGCTTGCAAGTGTAAAAGCCGCAGCGATAAGAAAGAGCCAGGAGTTACGTTTCATAGGTAAATAAACAGTCCACTCCTCCTTTTTAACGTTTTTTATTGAATTCGATAATTATTTTTCTGATATTATGTACTTGATATGTGTTATACATCGATACTAGTCTTGTAGCTTTTGTTAACATTTTAATACGTTTTTTTCGTAATTCATTAGTATGAAACCACCGAATACACCATAGACGTAGTCAAACCATTTATCAAAAATGTAAATATCTCTTAAAATATGTGCCACTGTACTGTTTGGAGGTATGGTAACAATTTGGTCTCGGGTGTTATTAGTCCTTGTATTCTATAGTCATTGATTTAAAAACTAATATTTTTAATAGATATAAACTAATTACTTTTTATTTTACAGGAGGCGAATGAGATCGTCCACTAATATCTACCTGTCCGCTTTAGCCATAGCGGACATAATACATTTGTTCTTCGTATTTCTTCTTTCTTTCAAACACTACAACAACATAAACGACAGAAAATATGAACTGTACTGGAGATTTTATGGACTGAGTCATTGGTTTTGTGACGCTGCAAGTAAGTACACACATAAAATAATAAATTAAAAGTACACACACGTTGTCGTTGAAAAAGGCACAACTAAATAATACATGCCGCGCTCATTCTATGATAAAAGATCTTATGTGATGAGCAAACGGTTTTAAAATTTGATACAACTTTAAAATGGCTTATGGCTTATATTAAATGTCTTTAAATTAAACATGATTTGATCTAAAAAGAAAATAACTTTATTTTAACGCACCTTGTGTTAAAAGCGAGTGACAGTAAACCTACATGGTTTTGTTTATTCATCTGTCTTTTCAAGTCGGAGAATCAAGATTTTATTCCAATGAGTGTTATTTCTGGCAAGAACTTGAAAGGAAATGAGAGAAAAAATAGATCTATAATTGTTTTTATTATGCGGTCATCTATTATGGACGATACATGCACATTACCTTCTATAGAAATACGGACAAATTATTCATGTGCCGTTATTCGGTAAGTAGGTAATTATATCTGCGTTAATATACTTTAGCTAGTTGATTTAAAATTATACACTATTATAATTACACTTACTCACCGTTATAAGTGTTGTAAATGTAAGATAAAGACGTTAAAAATTACTAAGATTTATGTCGGTACCTAAGAGTGATATATATATAATACAGTAAAAAACATATATCATTATACAGGGTGTCCCAGAAAGTACAAGTATTTTAAGGGGAGGTAGATCTCGATAAAAGAAACATATTTTCTCTTTATCGTTTTTGAAATAAGCCCAAAATAACGTTATAATAGATAATAATAGAGTTATTTTACTTTGAAAATTTCCAAAAATGATTTTTTCTAAAATTTTGAGAACCACTGGATCTTTTTTAGATTTTCTTTCTTGTAAATTTAATCTAATACCTATGCTATATTATCTAGAAATTATGTTTTTTAACTAAAAACTACCCCTCAAACACCCCTCATGATGTGACCGACGTACTGTAACTTCCTTTCCTTCACTGTTGATAGGAGCTCTTTATCTTTGCCCACCCACCTGAGTACCTCCTCATTTGTCACTCTATCCATCCAGAATATACGCAGCATACGACGATACAAGTATCTCAAAAGCGTTAATGCGGTTTTCCAATGTCTGGTTGAGTGTCCAACTCTCAGAGCCGTAGAGAAATACTGGAAAGATATAACAACGCAGCATACGTATGCGCAGTTCGAGGCTTAGATCTCGGTTGGAGAAGAGGGTTTTTATGGAAGCAAAAGTACGTATGGTCTGTTTGATCTTCGCTAAAATTTCAGTTTTGGGGTCGCAAGCGTCGTTAACTAGGGCTCCTAGATACTTTATGGACGATACTTGTTCTACAACCTTGTTGTTAATTCTGAGGACAGTCTCTCCCGGTGTTTTGGAAAATACAACAAGTTTAGTTTTGTTAACGTTAATCTGTAATCCGTACTGCATGATATGATCAACGATGCAGTCCATCATGTTCTGAAGGTGTAGAATATTGCCAACCAGTACGACCGTATCATCTGCGAAGCGAATATTGTTGATTAGGGTACCATTGATTTTGATACCATCCTCAACGCTCTCTAGTGCCTCACGGAATACCGCCTCGGAGTAGATGTTGAAAAGGAGTGGGGATAATACACACCACTGCCTGACGCACTTCCTAATTGCTACTTCATCAGATGTTCCGCCATCCGCCCTCATCTCTGCAGTCTGGTTCCAGTATAACTGGGTGATAATGCGCAGGCCGCCCTCATCCACACCGGTGGTTCTATAATCTATAAAGCAGGCATATACACGTCTGGTAATGTCAGATCTAGGCATAGGAATTACATGCATTGGAATGAAACGCCTATAAAAAGTCTAAGCTTAAACAGAGATGGATAACAACTTCCCCGTTTCCACTTCCACTGTGACTGTCGAGTTAGACAAACTCCAATAAGACAACAAATTTTGGAAATAGCACCGCCTCCGCGCCGCCTCCACCCACCTGCCCTTTATCGCCATCAATATTATTTCTCTTTCCGCGCCTCCGCGTCGCGCCAGCGCGCCAGGCCACCACAGAGTTGCCAGGTCTACCGATTTCGTCTGTAAGCTACCTATCTACCGATTTAAACAAAAGTCTAGAGATATGTTCAACTGCGTCTTTAGCCTTTACAATAGAAGCACTTTTAAAAATCTAACACATTTAAGCGACTATCGCATCGTAAACCGTATAATCTGACATTCGTAAATATTATTGTTTATTAAATTTTGTTTAGAAATTATAGGTCATCGTTCTGTCTGGTTGCATAATTACGGAGATATTCTCAAACATTCGTATTATCCTTTTCTCCGGCATTTCCGAAGATGATATCTTTAGAAAATATTTTGTCTTATTCATCTACTAAGTTGAACCCGCATTTCTCCCCAAAAAAATAAACAAAGAAAAAAATCTAAGTTAAGAAACAAACTAAATACGGACAAATATTTGTGTGTTTCTTCTGTCTAAAAAATATAATAATAAAAGAGAGTTGAGAGTTAACAGTTTTCCCATTGAAATGAAATTAATTCTAGATATGAGTTAACCAACTTTGTACAAAGGTAAACAGTAACTGATACCCCTACTTATTAGTTTTAAATGTTTTTATTAATATATGAATATTATTTAAGTTAATAAGATTTTTTGATATTAAATGATATTATACCTAGCTATTTATAATTTTTATTATATTTATTTTGTTTGTATTTTATTTGCGTATTTAATTCTAGGAACACATAAAAATGCAAATCTTGTACTTTAATATAATTATTTAATATTTTATTTTGTTTGTGCAGTTTATTATACTTTTGATTTTTGACTGATTATTTGAAATATCGATATTTGTTAACAAAAGAAAATCGTAAAATATTATCTAATTATTTTATTTAATAAAGCTTTTGATTTATAAATAAAAGACCATCAAATAGGAAAGAAATAAATTTACTATTTAAGAAATCTGGCAACCCTGTCCTGCCACTCATTAATAAGTTCTTTTCCGGAATTTTTTCGTTTGTCGAAATTCCACCGCCGACGCGAAGCAGACGCTTGTGGTCCCGCCCCCTCTCCCAGAAACGATCTTCTCACTCATCGTGTCACTTCTTCTAATCAGTGGAAGGGAAAACAGAGTTATCTGTCTTTGTTACACTGCAGGGTAGACTGCAGCCGTGTCATCTTTTTTTATCGCATTGAGAATCTCCTATTGCTAACAGTAGCTTTGCCAAACCCGTATATCGACGTTCATGTCCCTGCATCGCTGTGTAATAACGTTCAGTGTAGTGCCTCGCGCGTACCAACTCCATTCCTAAAGCTTCCGGTTTCTTAAGTAGAGCTATTTAAAAATTAATAATGTTATTATTATAGTTGCATTATTAAAAAATTTTTGGGCTCTCGGGTTAGGTATAGGAACGTTGAAAAGCAATTTTATTTCGTGTTTCAATTTTTTAAATAATATACATAGGCATCAATTAAAAATAACATTGATTTGATCGATTTTATAACAAAAGGAAATATTTATTTTTGATCTCCCCAATAGGTTTATTTAGATCACAGAAGAGAATAAAGATAGAGGTTTAGATAGATCGAATATGTCAACTTTCCTTAATAAACCAAATTTCAGCTCTCAATATGCCGCTTAACCTTAATATATGACTAAACCAATGCTTACTCAAGATCATACTTTTGTCGATTTTACACATGTTATATTTTTATCTCGAAAATTGTTACGTTGGTTCTCAAAAACTGTTAGGTTGGTTCTCGAAAACTGTTAGGTTAGTATAATAGAAAAATTATGAGATATGAAAGTAGCTTCGAAAAATGTAATAATATTTCCCATTGCCCATTTAAAGTAACGAAGATGCTACCAATTTTAGTATGAAGCGGCAACACTGAGCAACATACAGTACAAAGCAGGAACAGAGGGATAGAAGTATTTGGAAGAAAACTAAATACTCAGAACCAATGGGTACCTACCCCAGCATCCTTCAGGCAGAAATCTACGCTATCTAAAGATGTGTACAACTTATCATAGATAGAAACTCTCGGAAACAAAAAAAAACTTCTTATCCTATAGTGAAACAGCTATAAGAGCGATCAACTCAATAAGGATCAATTTGAATTTGGTCAAAGAATACCTAAGGAAGCTGAACAAATTAGGCAAAGAGAATTATTAAGTCAGCCTACCCAGGGATAGAAGGCAATGAAAAAACAAACGATCTAGCTATAAAAGGAGCGAACACTCCACTAAGTAAATGGAAATGTGGAAAAGAAAAAATGTAATAAGTGGAAACTAACTTAAAATAGAACTCAAGAACCTAGAAGACTCCATCTGTATCATGGAATGAAATCCTCCAACAGTCTAAGACATTTGAAGAAATTTCTCAGAACTTGCGACCGAGAAAAATCAAAAAATTTTCTTGATTTAATAAATAACAATCTTCGAATTATCACGAGGTTTTTAAGAAGACACTGTCTCCTCAATGAACACCTCAGTAGATTGAAGCTAAGAAACAACAGCGAATGCAGATTCTGTGGGTAAAATGGGGAAACATCAGAACACCTCAACATTTGCTGTCCTCCATTCGAGAACTTCAAGTTCCAGTGCTTTACGCCCTGGGCTACTCGAGAACGGTTCTGAAAGGAGCTATGTGCAATAACAGCGTGCCTTCATATGGCGCAGAACAGTTCTGAACTTTATGATTCAATTGAATGGAGTGAGAGTATCGCGTTCTTCTACAGTTCAGAGCTGCTAACCTCTGTAAAAGCGTCTCAGATACTGGCTTTTGTCAAATCCCTGAGACTGTATGATGAGTTATAACTCGGGAAAGAGGGACACAATAGATATATAAAGTCGCTGTGTTTAACTTCCTCCTCCCATAGAATCTACAATCTACATTGACGATTTGATAGCCCAAAAATCTTTCAAAAGTCTTTTTTGAGCTTGGTCCCGTTACAGTTGGGCAAGGCTCTACTTTTCTTTATTTTAACTGATGAGTGTCTATTATTATGATATTTGAGGAAATTAATTCACCATTTATAACGGTTAAGAATGATTTAAATAAATCCGTTAGATAATACTTTCAACGCTTAATATTTATCAGAAACTAATCCGAGTCATTTTTTGCAGGTAGTACATCGGTTTGGTTAATCGTTTCCTTCACGATAGAACGATACGTCGCAGTGTGCCATCCAATGAAGGGAAAATATTTTTGTACAGAGAGTAGAGCTAAAACTGTCATCGTTATCGTTTATATTTTCTGCATCCTCACAACTGCATCCACCACGTTCGAGTACCAGCTTAGTATGAACGACATGGAGAACTGTACGGAATGCAAGATTGACCCGAAAAAAATTAATTTTGAAAATGGCAGTTTTGCGGGCAATAGCACGTCGGGAGATTTAAATGGTGCAACACACTACGTACCTAATAATGTTATTTTGACAAAGGACAATACTTCCGAAAATAGTAAGAAGGTGTCTACTCTGAAAGTATTTAACGATCCCAATTTAACACCTATCCTAAAAAGCATTTTGGCCAATTGTACGACGAATCATCCTCATATCATTTACGTATACCCCCAGATACTGAACGTTAGTAGTGAAATAAGCCCTAGAGATAACGCTAAAGTGGAAACGATATCTAATATGACTATAGTTCACAATTACTTGAATGAAACAAAAGACACTCCTGGAAGAGATATGTCCCTTCCTATAAGCGAAGCATTAAATGGAAGTGACGGTAATAATGTAACGAGTATTTCGAATAAGTTTTGTTGTACTAAAAGACTTTGGATCGATGTGGAAAGTACTAATTTAGGCAAAAATGAAACGTATACCAGCATTATGTACTGGTATAGCGCCCTATTTTTTGGGCTCTTTCCCTTGACACTGATAGCAACGTTTAATTGTTTTCTAATCAGAGCTGTATACTTGTCGCAACGTAAGCGCCGAGCTATGACAAACTCCAAGAAAAACAATTCTCAGGTAACTATAATTTGATGACATACTATACTTGATGGCACATGTTTTTTGAAGCACCTTGTATTTAGTAAGAAAGTTTATTTAAATACATTGTAAATAATTGTATTGCTATAGTAGGATCTTTAACTAATAATGTAATTTGTTATTTTTAGGAGTCATCTGTATCTTCCCATAATGAAAATCGAATAACTATAATGCTTATAGCAGTTGTAGTTATGTTTTTGATATGTCAGACTCCGACAGCATCACTATTGATATATCAGAACTTTTATCCACCAAAATCACATCGAGAAAAGAATATTCATCACAGTAAGTACTCATTACATAATTTTATTTTGAAAACTATATTTTTTAACCAAACCAAATTTTTAAAACCTTAAATATATAAAATTAGCTAAATATCTATGTATACTGTATACCCCAAACAAAACATATTTTTTATAAAAGACAACCATACCTATTTTTAGCTCTAGGAAACGTATTCAACTTTCTCGTCACTGTACACGCTTCCTGCAATTTCCTGCTGTATAGCACAATGTCCAAAAAGTTCCGAACTACTTTCAAGAAATTGTTCTTCGACAGAAGCAAAAACAAACGGCAAGATACAATAGTTCTATCTACATCAAAAAGTAATTCGCAAAAATTCAATCCCTACCATCACGGTATAAAGCGGAATCCTACAGAATACCGTACCCCAAGAAATTTGGAGGTAACTATATATTTTTTTAATAAGGGAAAGTACGTCAACACGTACAACATGAAAGTTGGCATTGGAGTTTAAATAAATTGGCAGGATTGAATGGCTTGATCTAATCAACCTATTTCTCTTGGTAATTGTGTTTTAATTATAACTAAATGCAGAAAATACTAACAAACATTAATTAATGTTGAATGTGCTTGAACTTAAATAATACCTAATTATTTAACCTATTATACTAAATTTTTAAAAATGAAAACAAAACATATTTTAATATTTTTTATTTTTCTTGCTGCACCTTAACAACCTCTTCATCTACCGTTTTTCTCAGATAAATACTAGATCTAGCGCTAGAAGATATCGTAAATCTATTCAATCGTTTTTAAAGGAAACATTTTAATCCTTATCTTTAATTCTGATCGTCGAAGTAACTATATCAGAAAACGTTTTAAATAATGACCAGGTGTCCACATTGACATCATAAGCATAAATTAATATTAAATATAATTAGTATGACTATAGTCTGTCCAACGAGCCAGGTTAGGCAAAAAATGAGAGAAGATGCAATTTACCTGTACATTAAAATGACACACACAACTGTCACTATCATCGATTCTCTCGTTGTATAGACTCAGTATAGATTATGTCATAATTTGTTAAATTATGATACACAAATTGTTAGTATATCACTCATAATTTTTCAAACTACGATAAACATATTGTAATACAAAAATATTCTTATAAAGTAGCTATTTAATTTATAGAATTTATTTAATTTACACATTGTTATAAATATAAGTAATTATATTTTTAATTATTTTAGGTTCAAAGCTTGACAGGCATGCCAAGGTCAAAATCGCTGATGGCACGTCCCGGTGGAAAAGTAAAATCAAGTGATTTGATCGTCTGAGAAACTGCTAATAAATTCTACATCTATTAGTATGCAAAGTTGGCTCTTCTGTAGAAATTGCCGTTAACAAAGAAAAAATGTCGCAATTAAAAAAGTATGAACTCTATTTTTTAAAGAGCAAGTACAATATGTACATTATGTATATTTAAATAAAAGTTGGACAGTTTAGTGTAGTTTTTTGATTCTTTAAGAAAATTTTAAGAAATAATAAAATAATATGATAACCGACAACCGTTTTCTCTGTCAATTAGTAAGTACTACCGTATGATCGAAAAAATCAGCATCCAGTTGGCCGGGAAAGAACGATCGATGACATTCCCATATAATTTTACATATAAAGTGACAGCGATCTTCATTTCCTAACCATAGCTGACGTCGCTTTTTTTCGATCATATTGTATTAATATATAATAACCAAAATTATAGTCTGAATTCAGTAAAGGCTTCATGCACCCAAATATCGAAAGATTTAATCTAACAACTACATATAATTAAATTAAAAAAATTATAAAAAAATATTTGGATACACAAAAACGTTAAATAAAAACGCTTTAAAATCTACTACGTAATTTTATGCATAAAACCTCCGAAATTCTGATACTTTAAAATTAAACTTTTTTTAAGATGTTAATAATATTGATGAAATAATTATTCAATAAAATTAAAATAAATGTAAATAAGTTTTCCGAAACGAAAATTAAATTATTAAATTACGGTATCAAAATTGTTAGTATATTATTCATAATTTTTCAAATTATGAGACACATATTGTAATATTGTTAATTGAGATAGGATCCAATCTCGCCGCATCCAACTCTATTTCTTTCCGCTTTTTTCTATAATTTTGACAAAGTTTTGTGTTATTTTTTGTCAACCGTATATTTTTTGATATGTAATATGCTTGCTCTCCTCGTTTTCTTCTTTACTGGAGTTCAGTCCCATACTCTTGGGTATTCTTAAATCTTCCATTCTATGAAGATCGCCAAACTATAGCAATCGCTTGAATTCTATGGTATCCAAGATAGTATTTACCTTGCATCTCCCCTCTTATATATATATATTACTTACGTGTTCTAGGCGATATATTTTGTTGTTACACCTCCAATAGTCCATTTCAAAAGCAAGTAGTCTAACTTCTTATAGATATCGATCTACTTTAGTAGTAGTAGTCTTTTTCATCTTTGTGAAATTAAATTCACAAAATTTCGAAATTCTTAAACCAATAAAAAAAGGTATCTTTTAACTAAGGCACAACATCCCCATTGACAGCAACGCTCTAGGCCGTTCTGTCCTTTGACTTACCACTAGTAGTATGGTCGGTATGTCGATGATTTTGTTACTGCGTTTACCAAATCGGCAGCACACGTCAGTGAAGTCACTTATTCAGTTTATGGACCTTACAGCTCCTTTAAAACGACCTTTACACTACTCGCGAAGCAGGACAAAGTAGGTCAAAGTCGAATAGTGAAGAGGGTTATTTTGTGTTTCCTCGTCTAATAAAAATAACCCGAGACGAGACAAAGTTAGAAGAGGAGACATGAAGTAACACCCTTCACTATTCGAGGTCGACCTGCTATGCCTTACTGCTCGAGTAATGTAGAGGCCGTTTATACATTGTCACGATCAGCGACACCTCTCCAAGGGATATGAAACGACTGCTAAGGCGCCATCTCCTAAAGCGCCAGCTTCCAGCCGAGAAAATCAGACGTGTGCCATCTTTTAGGCAACGGGGGAAACCCGAATATAACCAAGAATTTTTTGGTTGGAATAGATAACGAAAATATGCGTACGAAGTAAGTCAGTTTGAGGTTTGAATACATTCTGAACTGATATGGTTAAAGAGCAACCGAGTTAGAAATAAAGTAATTGGGCGCATTCAGTAAACACACCGGTATCAACCGGTAAAGACCTACCGATAACTTTTTATTGAACGATCGAGACAACAAAAAATGTCACAAGTGACAATTATGACAAACTGCGCCGACCGGTATGTAAATAAACCAGAAACAAAATCAAGCGATCGGTGATCACAACCGGTGAGTTACCATTGGCATTCACTTTAATTTTCTAAACCGGTGTGTTTACTGAATGCGCCCATTGAGGTCATTTAATATGGCATATACCGTGCTGGTATATATGGCATATACCGTGCTGGCAAGTGTTACTTTTGGGTCGGAACTTACATGTGTGGAAGTAAATCGCATAGGGATCTTATTAAGTCGGAGTGAGAGAAATGCGACGGTGTGCTGTTGCGGCATTGCCGGTACGCCTTTCCCTATGAGGTAAAGTAAAATCACGATCGCAAACGGCTTATTTTTAAACGACTTTTTTTTCGAAAATATAACTAGGTAAAATCATTAGATATTATGTTTCTGAGCATCAGAAATGGAATTATAAGGATATCGTTAGGGTAATCAATTATTTTTAATAGATTTTGAGATATCGATTAATTTTGAATTCAGAGTTCTAATAGCGCGACCACTGTCGAATACCAACTCAATTCCACTTATTTTTACCAAAAATGCAAGTGCTTCTAACTTGCACTTAAACATTTTCAAGCTCTGGGAAAAATTACAACGACTCGTTAATAAATAAACAAATAAAGTATCGCGAGACGTAATTAAATTGTGAAGCTGAACGCATGATGTACACCTCTCCATAGAACTTTAGGTACTGATGTGGTACTGACTGAGTCGACCGGTGGACTGCGAACAAATCTGCTATATCCCCTTCCACGTCTCTTAGCAATGTGCGCAGTTTCTCGGTTTATTTCGTGCGTTTGGCAACGTGTTTACTGTTCTCTCTTTATTCAGTACATTATAAACGCATTGTACTCTTCTTACATACAGAAATCTCGACCCAAGACTAACCTTTGCCAGCCCTTAGTATATAGGCCACTAGTACTAGTACTAGTGTGTTATAATTGAGTAGTTTAATGTAATTATAGTCATGTAATAAATTAGTTCCGTGTCGTATCGTGTGTTTAAGTCAAGAACCCACGGAATCTGTAACAAAATTTATAGAACTCTAGTTTTGCAATAGAATAAAAATAATCAAAATTATATATTAATTAAAAAAAAATTAAATAAAAAAAATTAAATTAAATTAAAATATGCGTACGAAGTAAGTCAGTTTGAGGTCTGAATACATTCTGAACTGATATGGTTAAAGAGTAACCGAGTTAGAAATAAAGTAATTGGGCGCATTCAGTAAACACACCGGTATCAACGCCAAAATTATAATGAAAGAAGCGATAGCCTCTAAAAGAAAAATAAAAGAGGCTTTTCTAATTCAATCTAATAGAAATAAATGTATTGCTCATGCATCTGTAGATGTTAGTAATGTATGGCAATCGCTTCTTTGATTTTAAAGAACATAACATAAATAAACATAACATACGTAAAATTTAAAAATAATCATACAGAAAGTTTGGGCTTTTTGGTTTTACCTTATTAAGTAATTGTTATCAGGTAGTCATTGTTAATTTTGAAGTTTAACTTAATATAATGTCATTTTAACAGAACGTCAACGATTTCTTGTAGACGTATCTGTTTTAAAAAGTAAAGTGTTCTCGAATATTTCAATTTAAATATTTTAAATTGTTTTTTTCTTGATTCTTTATATTTTTTTTTGCTTCCGACGACGGAAAGAGAAAACTTTCCGAAACGTTAAGCATTTTTTTCTTTGTTAGGTAAATTTTTATTACTGTAAACACAACTTCTGACAAGCAGCGTCCGTTTAGGTTTAACGCCAGAAGTGTTTACAAAAAATAACTATTTTATTTTGTAGATTTTTCTTGCAGTGCAGTGGCGAAATACCCATAAAGGATTTTTTTGGATATATATATTAATTGTCAGACAACATATATTACTTGATGAAAACTATATATTACTATATGACTTATAAAATAATTTACATATATTTCTACATATTAAAACATATACTATCAATTACTACATTTTTAATAAATTCAATGTCATAAATCTTTCAAATTTCTTGGTACCCCAGCCAGGCACTAGAGATAAATCTTCAATTTCGTTAAACGACCCCTTCAGTTTCCTTTGAACAAAAATTTAACGATAACTATGTTCATTCAGAACATTAATGTAGAACCATGTTCATTGTTCATTTATCTTATAAAGCAGAACAATTGAAATAGTAAAGAAAAACACAAAATCTAAATCTGGCTCGCCCTGTATATACCATAGTTAATAATAATTTATCAATAATTACAAAACATTGATAAATTACGAGTTTATAATGTTGGGAAAACTTTTAAATGCAAAGAGAAATTAACAAAATATAACACTAATTCACCAAAATACAAGAAAACATCAAATGATTAACACTGGACAGGACAGTACAGTCTTAATCATATGCTGATGCCACCATGGTCAGCAAAACTCGCGTCCGGTGTTAAAAGTAGTGTTTTGGTGAACTGTGGTGAATTAGAGTAATATTTGTAACAACTGTATTATTATTCTAAAACGTTAGTTTAAAAATCGCTACATTTCAAAAAACACTATGCCCAGCCTACAACATTATGGCATAAAATATAAAATAGTTAATTTAAAAAACAATTCTAGTGTATAAATATATTTGATTTATCCTATGTATAAATGAAGATATTTTTATACTCCACCTACCATTGTCACATATAGCACGTTTTGTAAAAATTATGAAAGAAAAACTTAAAATAGAAATCTGATACTGAGAATTTTCCAAATATAAAATATATATCAATTATTTATTCATACAATTGATTATTTACCTGTATAATAAAATCTGTTCACCGGTTTTTGCTCCTACGGAATGTAGCGTTCCAAGGTCTTTCAAGTTTCCATCATTTAAAATTTTTAAAACCGCTTTGGAATGGACTGTACGAGGACTATCTCTACTGCCAATTAAAAATATAATTATTTCTTAGCCCATGTGCTTACATTTAGACCTACCTCTTTGATTGTGAAATTAACTTATGCACTGGAGATTTTTTAGCTCCTTTCCTTTTCTTTTTAGTTTTCGGACTTTTATATTTTGTAATAAATCCAACGCTTTTCCTGACAACAGCAATGTTCTTCTTTTTGCTTCTTACAGCATTTAAAAGATTTCGTTCTGAAGAATTCAGTAGGGAAGAGCATGAAATATCACAAGAATTTTTAGTTGTGTTAAGATCAATATCTTCAGTTGGTTTTTTGCTTAGTCTAGTACTTCTTCTAGGTGTTGCTATTGGTAACTGATCACCAAATAAAAATCCCGATTGTTCGGACGCTTCTGGCTGCTGTATAAAACTACTCTCATCTTTTGTCATTGTAGAATCAAAGGACATATCAGAAACATTAGAAGCGTCATGCTTTTTCATGGATAACCTCATACTTCTTCTTGGCATTTGGCCCGTGGGTTCAATTTCTAACGCGCTATTCTGAAGATTTTTGGACTGTTTGTACTTTTTGGTTGGGATCATTGGCATTTTAAAGCCAAAATCTTTATTAGAATCGGTTTCAGATATTGCCGTATTATTAATTTCATCTGCTGGACTATCGTATTCCTAAATTAATTCATTATTAATTCGAAATTTGCCTTACAAATTCAAAACTGTTATACAGGGTGGTCCGAACTGTATTCCGGAAACTCCGGCAGCGTATTCTACAGATAAATATAAGTAAAAAAGTTCGTATAAATGTATGTCCTAAAATGCTTAGTTTCGGAAATACAGGGTGTAGAAATTTCATTTTTATTTCGATTTTTTCCAAATAATTTCTGCAGTAACGTCAATATTTGGATGATTTTTTGACATGAGCAATTTGATTTTGATGTCAATATAACCCTCGTTTATAGAGGGCGCCACCTACATGTGTTTTAACTGTTTTGAAGAGCAATAACTTTTCGACGGTACCTGTATAAAACAACTGATTAAAAAAATATACATTTCCATGACTTTTTACGTAAAAAATGTCTCTTGGTAAAAATCGCTACGAGCAACCGTTTTCAAGATTTTAAAATGGCAATAGTCAATACATGTCATTATTGACAAAAAATAAGCACACGTTGAATAGAGTTATTTGACTAAAATAATAAATTTTTATTTTTTTTAATTAATCAAAAATTTTTCTGCGAAAAATGGATGATGAACAGAAACTGTTTATTCTGTTGAACTTTTGGCACAAAAAGATTTCAATTTTAAGATTTCAGTCTAATAACTATTTGTTCAACATGTTTAATTTGTCAATGATGACAGGTATTGATAATTTCAATTTCAAATATCTCGAGAACCATTACTCATAGCGATTTTTACCAAGAGACCTTTTTTATGTAAAAAAAGTTGTAAATGTATATTTTTTTACTCAGTAGTTTTATACACGTATGGATGAAAAGTTATTACTCTTCAAACCAGTTAAAGCATATGTAGGTGGCGCCCTCTACAAGTAGGAGTCATATTGACATAAACATCAAATTTCTCATGTCCAGAAACTCCCAGACACCAATTTTCATCCAAATATTGACATTACTTCTTAAATTATTTGAAAAAAATCGAAATAAAAATGAAATTTCTACACCCTGTATCTCCGAAACTAAGCATTTTAAGACATACATTTTAACGAACTTTTTTACTTATTTTAATCTGCAGAATATGCTGCCGAAGTTTCCGGAATACAATTCGGACCACCCTGTATAATAGAGTAAAATAGTTAGTAAAGGTGCTACAGGGTGCTTTAGAAAAGAATTCTAATCATTAACGTATAATTTTACGAAAACTGTTTACTTAAAAGGTTAAAACCCAATTCAGTTAACATATTGAATATAAAAAAAAATATCAGAACAGAGGACAATTATTATAGTTTTCATGAGAAAACTGTGCTCTTTTTCAAAACAGTTTTATGGTTTGAGTTGTTTCAACAAAATAAATAATTTGTTTACAAACTAATTATCGTTGCTTCTTCTCGAAAATAAAACGTTTTAACTTTTTAAAAATATCATGTTTTGGGTACATTAAAATTGACATATTTTATAAATAATGTATGCACAGGATGGTCCAATAACAGAGGACGTCGGCTTAACGCTGGAATCATTAAGGCTCGATTCTCACTAAAACGTACCGTCACCGTCACGTCGGCGTCGAGCCGGCGCCTCCGCGCCCTCTCGACATAAAGCATGAAGTAAATAGGAAATGGATATAGCTAGAGGTCGTTGGATGTTGCCACGACGCGACGGCTACGTTACGAGTAGTGTGAATATGTTCATTGTTAGCCATTTAAAAATATTTACTGTGGCTCGACGTGACAGTGGCGCTACGTTATAGTGAGATTCGCGCCTAAGCCGGCTACACATATTGTTTTGCCTTAGATCTTACCTGTGCATTTAAATTGTATAAAAAAAAACGTTGTATGTAGACGAAAAAATGGACGTTTTACTTGAATTGAATTAAGCAGAAAGACAGTCTAGAAAACTGACGGTATCATTCAGTTTTACAACAAAACAATCGTTATGCTACACTGTAAAAAATATAAGTAGTAAATTTTTTTCACAATTTGCTTTGCGTATTTGAAAACGAAACTTAAACCATAAATACAATAATTTTAAGCTTCATTCAGAACCTCGCAATTCCTGGAATAAATTTATTGGTTTCAATTGTGTAGAAGTTTGTTTCTCTACTTTAAAAAATTAGTGATAGTAATTTTCAATTAGTAGAAAAAGTTAGTTAAATAGCACATTTTTAACTTTCGCCACTAATTATTCTTCAAAATTCGCCAGTAATGTTATTTCAGCCTTTGATTATAATCCATCAAGAAAAATTGTCCATAGAAAATAAAAGTTGATTGTTTTATAAGCTAATTATTATGTTTATAATATTATAACCTAGTTATTATTAAGCTGCTGTTGCTACGTTAATTGATTAATTAATTTTAATTGAATATTTTTAGATATTGTAAATGGTTGTAAACTCAAAAGTATAGAGTATAATTGAAACCACTAATTTCGGAGTTCCGAATAGAGCTTTATAGTAAAAATCCATGTTTTTTATTTTTAACTTCACCTAAATACAATGCTAGAATTGATAAAACCGCAGGTAAAACTTCCAATGTGTACGCTAGTCTTTAATCAGTCTTACCTGACGTAGTAAAATGTTATGTCTAGACGGGACTAACTGCGCTTTCAGATAGAGCGGAGCGTCCGCTACTTCGAGCAAGTACCATGAGTTTATATGAACAATTTCACATGGGTCGCGTATGCTCCGTCCGGATGGTTTTGTCAACGGCTATCTTGAAAAAATATCCGCGCGGACGGTCCGCTCCATCTGAAAGCGCTGTGACGGAAGACCGCAAATAAACTGCCGTCGATTCTTTAGACAATCTTACTCTTTAACTGACATGGAAATGGTAAAGTAAAACGTTGTACGTTGATGGGGCTTATAAATGTAATAAAAAATAATCATTATAATGATCCTATTATTTTTAATAACTAAATGTTTTATTATAAACCATATTACCGGTTTCGAACCTACGGCCAACGTCCTTTATTGTTTGATCATACTGTACATTTGTTTTTTTGACTAGAAAAATGTGTGTAAAAATCAAAATCATATAAATTTTATCAATTTTTCCATTTTTTTTACAAAATTGGAAAAACAGTTACCAGAACGATCGAAAAAAAAACGGCTTCAGAGTTGGATTTTATATGTATGTAAAATTATACAGTAGACATTGGTATTGAAACAATGAATATGTTTTATACAAAACGGTCTGCGAGAAAATACGTGCTGTATACTAAAGCCGGAGTCTCATGCATCCGAAATCCGATGGTACGACATCCGAAATTTGAAGTTATCGTGTGAAATAAAAAAAGCCTGTCACATACATCCGAAAGTTCGTTCCGAAATTTGACAGTTTTAACATTTTTCTGCTGCGCTGAATAGAGATTCATGTCATGTTTTATTGGAGAAACACTTATAAAAATAACTTCCTCGCCAAATATCCCGAAATTGCACACTTCCCACTAAACTTGTTTTTAAAAACAAATGTTTTCAAAAAAAGTGAGGCTAAAAAACACACGATATCGTACAAAAGTTAAACAAAATTTAACTTTATACGACGTCGGATGATTAGTTAAAATTATCGGATAAAAATTGTTGTCAAAATATTTCGACCAATAGGAGCACCGTCGGATCGTCGTGTCATCGGATTTCGGATGCATGAGACTCCGGCTTAAAGTGTGCTGTTCCTAAACAATTAAAATAATAGTTTTAATATGTGTTATTGTGCGTTTGTCCAGTTTTTCACAATTTTAATTCTGTAGGAATATACGTTCAAGAGACTTACAAAAGACATATAGTGTCGAAACGTCGTCGTCGATAAAAATAAAATAATGAACAAAATCCAATAACATCTTTGAAACCCCAACCACCTAAAGCCAAGAATATAAAAAGAAAAAAATGTAAAATTATATAGAGAATGTCATCAATAAACATTTCCAAACCAACTTCACGCCACTTTTTTTTCATCTTACGGAAGTTAAAGTATAGTTTTTCTATTTTTCAACCCATTAAATATCTACCAACAATTTAAAACAATGACGTAGTTTTTATTGATTATATAAAAAATCTTCGTTTAGAACACAAATTGATGATGAAAATTCTATTTAGATTAACTCTTAAAAATTAACATTCTGCACACCCTGTCAAAAATTACCAAACTAATTAGCAATAAAATAAAACAGGACTACATGAATATTCGATTTCTATCCACATTCATTTTATAATACATTTTAACTTACCAACACACGTTTAATTTTCGCTCCATCAATTGGACTACTTGTTGCTCGTACTGTTTTAACCTTTAATTGCGCTATTTCGCTCTTTACTAATTTGGATACTTCGTTTTGAATCTTATTCCATGACATACTGAAATTTCAAACTGTACTCTTGAAAAAATATTATTTATTTATCATTTACCCTGGTGTATTTTCCTTATCAGCCTGTAAAGGTGCTGCTAAAGGGGATGATTTTGCAGGTGTTTTTAATGAATTCTTTATAACACTTTCCAGTTTATCCATAATAGAAACTTCCATTTTTGTTATATATTTTCTTATAACAGGGCTAAAAGTTATTTTAATAATGTATTTATAGAAGTAAAGTGTTACATTTAATTTTCATTATTAAAATAAACAGGAAATTGATATTAATTTGGTGATAATGAATTAACAAAACTAATTTTGCAATTCATTCTGGATGTTGTACCTTAAAGTTTCCTGAGTGATATCCATATAGTTACTCATAATGGAAGTAACTGATGAAGAACACACTGAAATTTGGTTCGAATTGTCTATTTGGCTTTGATTTGCTTCGTTTATTAAAGGCATAGAGAAAATTGTTTTTTTTCTTGCCGGTGTTTTTAATGGTGTTGTGGTCTGTCTCTTCAAGGGAGTTCTAATAGCACTTGAATGTTCTTTTTTGTATTTTGTTATAATCTGATTCACTTCTGGATTACTACGTATCTTTTTAGCTCTTTGGGAAAAGTCTAAGGTTTGCAAAGTCTCTGTTATGTTATCAGAACTGGCACTGACACATGCTATTAATGAAATGTAATTATCAACATTCAGTGATCCTAAAAAGTAATGTATTAACTATTATTTGTATAACTAATATTGTATCACAATTAATAAAATTAAAATAAAAATAAGATTAATAAATTATTTATTTGATCTGATCTATTATTAAATTTTATTGAAATTTATAAGACTGATATTCAATGGTACCTACAGCAAATTAAAAAAAAAATAATGGCATTTAAGATAATTAGAAAAGATCAATTTTTCAAAAGTTATAACATTCTGTAACTTTAAAACTATGCATTTCCACACCTATGTTTATAGGATATTTTATTCATATTTTTTGATTAGGAATCAATGAGTACTTATATTTTTGAGGCAAAATATTTCAAATGTGTCAATGTATAAAAAGTACAGTATGATCGAAAAAAAACGGTGTCCAGTTGGCTGGGAAATGACAATCGCTGACATTTCCCATATAATTTTACATATAAAATGACAGCGATCTTCATTTCATAGCCATCGCTGACGCCGTTTTTATTCGATCATACGCTATAATAATTAATGAACTGACCTTGCAAAATGCTTGTTATCATTGTCTGTCTGTAAGGTATATATGCAGATTTCATAGACAATGCTGATATAACTTGACCTATTGAAAGTAACCCTTTATTTATACTAACACCTTCTTGAAATGTACTTCCAGTATTTCCCGTTTTTCTCACACTTTCTGAACCAGCTAGGTCCACTAAATTTATCTTTCCTTTTACTTCTTCAGTGCTACAAAACAATATTAATGACAACAGTAAAAATATGAATGTAAACTAATGTTTAAATGTTATACTTTCATTTGTATCATCTTGATGTGTATCACAAGAACATAATTAAATTTTTAAAAAATACCTACCCATTTCTTCCTGTGAAATATACTGTAAAAATTGCATGTGATCTGGAACTATTTATATTTTGTTTTGTCTCAGCGACATGTCTTTTCTTGCTTCCTAATTCCAATAACATCATTGCTGAATCAATACTGTCTATAATTTTGATTGCCATGTCTTGAACAACAAATCCTAAAACATATTTCTATTAAACCTGATTTCAATAGTGAAATATAAATATATAAACCAGAAACAGATAACGGAGTCTTTCTATCTGGCTGAAGTAAATCAAAAACTTTCTCATTATAAATCTCTAAAAAAGATATGCCAATATCTACAAATTCATTATTATCCGCGTGATTTGTAAAAATATCATTCAAAACTCTTGGAATAATTCCGACATGTGAAAGATCATCCAAGCCCTTAAAAAAAATTGAGAGATTAAATGATATTAAACAAGAAAACTCACCTGAAATCCAGTCCCCATGGTATAGGTTTTACCAGTTCCAGTTTGTCCATAAGCAAAAACAGTACAATTATACCCTTTTTTAACATGATCAACTAAAGGTTTTACAGTTTTATCATAAATTTCTTCTTGATCAATTTCATCAGAGAAAATATTATCGAAATGATAAGCTTGAGACCTCTCTGGTATTGCAAGTACCTATAATCAAACATCAAATGTTACTTAAGTTTACTTGTCCTGACAGCCTAACTCACAGGAGGTTCTTTTGATATCACTTGTATGCATGATGTATCTTTACTTTTCAAAGTTGGTTTAATTCTGATAGAAACTGTTATACATTCCTTTTTGGACACTTCCATTATTATTCCAACCAATTCCGAGTGAAAAAATGTCTATATTTCCTTAATAATTCTTAAAACCGTTGAGATTCATCAACCTATTCAGTTTTAACGATAATTTACACACATGCGTGATTCTGTATAACATTGCACTTGCAAATGAAACTTGTATTTATTGAATTTTATGTTTATCACCATTCGACCGTAAATTCACATAAATATAATATTTCAAAAACTTCAAGCCATAAAATAATCCATCAAATAATAAATAAATAATCTTCAAGCCATCTTCAAACAGGGATCTTTTGAAATTTTGAATATTTGAAAAAATAGACATTTATCCACAGATCCACAGCAAATATATTTTAACTATTTACCAATATAACCAATGAACTATAGGTAGAACTTTAGAACTACTCTACTTTAGCCAACTTAGCTGAAATCATATATAAAGTGTATATGTATATATATGATACTAAATGGACTTGGTCACTTGGTCACATTCTCTTGTATACCAACGATGTGTTCATAGGTTCATAGGGGTTTACTCTTAAGTCTATATCTCTGGGTTTATTTTATTTACAAGGAATACGAACGGCGCGCCATTCCATAGTGGTTCCATATTTGAGGACCGCCGCGGCGGTCCTCAAACGAGTTCTAAAGTCATATATTTATCTCTAGTTATACTCTTGTCTTCTGTGGATTTACTTTTTTCATCTATGTCTGTGGAATAAACAGCGGAATAAAGCCGGAGTCTCAAGCCTAGTTCTCATGGAGCGGAAAATCGCGTTGTGGGAGCTGAATATCGCTTTCTGTTGAAGAAAGTAAAATTGGCCGGTTCACATGAAGCAGGATTCCGGATGCGGATTTTTAGATAAATTTAGGGTATTTCAGATTATTTTCTAGTGATTTTTTTTTATTTCAGAACTTGAAAAGGGACAGTGACAAGACAAGTGTGTTTTTTTAAGTAAACAAAAATATTTGTAACTTGTATATTATTATATTAATTAATTTAAATTGTATGTAATTATGGATACTAATATTGCTAACAATTATAACTATTATCAATGGAGAAGGCAGTACATAGTTGGATTAATATTAATTTGTGAATGGCATAAAAACAAAAAGTCTTTACAAAAACATAGAATAAAAAAAGGAGAATGTGGGTCAGAGATATTTTCTTAAAAAGGTCTGAGCAAGCAATCCCAACTCCAAAATCAAAATTCAAACTACCAAAACAATTTTCAACAATACCAAAACAATATCAACAAACAGCTTTCCTCCCAATTTGAAGTTAGGTTAAAAATTAAACGAAGAAAGAACATGATTAGACAAAGATAGACTATAAAAACTCGCTAAAAAGTTAAAAATAGTTTAACTTTTTGCGGATCCGCCAAAAGTTGAAATTTTCCCGCAGCGGGACAATTTTAAAAAAACTCGCGCTCGCAACGCGATTTTCCGCCCCATGAGAACTAGGCTTCATGCATCCGAAATCCGATGACACGACGATCCGACGGTGCTCCTATTGGTCGAAATATTTTGACAACAATTTTTATCCGATAATTTTAACTAATCATCCGACGTCGTATAAAGTTAAATTTTGCTTAACTTTTTGTACGATATCGTGTGTTTTTAACCTCACTTTTTTGAAAACATTTGTTTTTAAAAACAAGTTTAGTGGGAAGTGGGCAATTTCGGGATATTTGGCGAGGAAGTTATTTTTTATAAGTGTTTCTCCAATAAAACATGACATGAATCTCTATTCAGCGCAGCAGAAAAATGTTAAAACTGTCAAATTTCGGAACGAACTTTCGGATGTATGTGACAGGCTTTTTTTATTTCACACGATAACTTCAAATTTCGGATGTCGTACCATCGGATTTCGGATGCATGAGACTCTGGCTTAAACTGGAACCTGACTGGAACCAACTGGAATAAACAATTTTCACCATAACCATAATTTTAACGGTTTCTTAATTACTTACATTTGCATTTTTTTTAAATTTTTATAAATCAACAAACCTAAAGGTTTTCTAATAAGATGGCTATACATATTTATAGTGGCAAAAATCATATACTACATAAGCTCCAAAACAGCCGTGTACAAAGTATTCCCTTCAAAATTCTTGCAGACTGTGATACTCCTGTATCTAAATATTTTGAGCCTTACATAAAGAGTGAAAATGAAAGTAAGTAAATTATTTAAGGCATTTTAATATACATTAGGGCCAATAAGTTATTATCATCTTCTATTTTAGTTTTAAAAGGTTCCTTTAGAGGTTACCCTTTAAAAGGTAAAAAAATTGATATTCCGGAAGGATATGTTGGCTTAGTAGTGCATGAAAGTATTAGGCCAACAAATGAGAAAGATGATAGAAAATTCTATGTGATAAACAAATTTAACGAATTTACTTATTGGAATTGGGACAAGATTCCAAGCAAAAACGATAATTTTCTAAAAGCCATGGATTGGATAGATATTGCTGAAGTGGTATGTTTATATTAGACTCTATTTCTTAGCACTCTTTAAGGTTGTATATCTTACTAGCCTTCCAAGAATCCAAGCATTTTTCACAAATACCATAAACTAAATAGGACTGATTAATTAGTCTAATTTGTGCCTAAATGCCTAAAAACCATAGGTTTCATGGCATCAATTTCTGTCTCTGCAGTAGGGTTGCCAGTTTTATAGCAAAGTCCCGGGAACGCAAAAAAAGTAAGAGCAAAAAAAACTGTGATGCTTTACCCAAATCAAATCAAATTAGATACTTAAACTAAGGTATTTATATATAATTACCAAAATAACATAAATTAACGACGATAGATATAAATGAAGCTAAATAAAAAAAAAATGTGATAGAATAATAAAAAGCGTAAGTGTGTATTTCTTTACTTTGTCAACATTATAACATTTGATTGGCTCTGTCTGGGATAGTAAAATGATTTTCCAGGATCTGGAACAATTTGCCTAAATCAGGGATTTTTCTGAAAGCCTGGCAACCCTACTCTGCAGTCCTACTAAGGAAGAGTGAAATTGGAATCATACTTGACGAGTACATTGACTTATGTAAGTAGAAGTAAGACTGCAACCTTATATTTACAGTGAAAAGTGTCCAAATAATATATACATTTATGTATTAAAATTTAACAAAAAAAATATTTTTAGTTACACAGTCCAATTACTGAAGAATGAAGGAATGTAAATCAATATAAACCCAAGAATGTGCCTTATTACATCCTTCTGTTATGCTAAAATTAAACAAACATTTGTTAAAAAATTAAAATATATTAAATAAACTTTTACATATTTCCATTTATATTACCTTTGGCATGGACTAGATATTGAACTATGCAAATCTCAGTACTATAAAGAACATTAAACAAGAAGTTAGATAGCTACTTATCTATTAGATTTTAAAATATCTACCACACCAGCACAAATTCATAACTATAGTAATATGTGGTAGTTACTATATAATCATAGATTAAGGATATAATTTATTTACTGGAACATATATCTCTATTCTTCTCTAGATTTCCACAGGTGTGGTTATACTTTAACAATCTAATAAAGAATATCACAAATAATAATATTAATATAACAGGTATTGCAAGATACAGTAAGAATTTTCACGAAAGTAGTACAAAAAAAACTTGGTACTTTAGGGCGACAAAGCTGAATATATACTATTTCTGTATTATATACTATTTTCATTATGTATTATCTCTGGAACCAAATACACTTACATAATTGCTTATTAGGGTGCACCAAAAAAATAAATATTTTTTTCTTTTTTGCTTACCTATTGTTCGGGATGATGAAAATAAAATTCTGGTAAAGTCTGAGCTTTTAATATTAATATTAAGAGATGCCCCATCGTCATTTTCTATTTCCCATAACATGGGGAAACTTTTTTTCTCTTTGGAATTTTATTACGTTCTAACAAATCAGGGTTTTGTAAAAATCAATACATATTCTAGTAGGAGATTAAATGGTCTTAAAAAAGTCTGATATGAATTTTCATCTAATCGACTCGTTTGAAAGTTATTGAAGGTTAATGTTTACTTCAAATTGTAATGATTAATGATAACTTCCTGTAGCCAATATTTTGTGATAAAATATAAAAAATTGTGGAAGTGATCATATACGATTTGAAGTTTTGAACTTTAACCTTCATTAACTTTCAAACGAGTTAATTTATTTTTGATTAAATGAAAATTCATATCAGACCTTTTTTAAAAGACCGTTCAATTTCCTGCAAGAATATGTATTCGGTGTAAATTGGTCATTTGTTAGAACGCAATAAATTAAAAAAAAAAGGAATTTGTTTCCCCGTGTTATTTATATGAGAAATAGAAAATCCCGATGATGAAACCAAACCTCTTAATATTAATATTAAAAGCTCAAACTTTACCAGATTTTTTTTTCATCATCCTGAACGATATTTTCACGGTATTACTTTTACAATAAATAAATTGCATAATTCCTATAGCATTATGAAGTATAGTATGCCCAGTGAAAGAATACAGGAATTTGATGGGATCCATAATATGACAGGAAAAGCAATCTACTTTTGAATTAAAAGACAGACAACAATCACAATGATATTCTTTTCCTGGAGAGACTTACTTAATTTTGGATGGAATTAAACTTTCATGTCTAATTATTCCCTTAATATCTATAGTAGTAATGTATTTGTAGCTAAAACATAAAATGTAAACAAAATAGCTAATTGAATTAAACAAAAATAGTAAAATATCACATTTATATAAATATAAAACAGATAGGATTAATACTAATTGGGTACAATATATGGACATTATTGAATATAAAGAGATAATAAATTATTTTTAATTAAAGTTCAGTGTAGATCGATGCTAGCGATAGAACAATTTATAATAATATATAGGTGCAACAGATTACCTACTTATATTTAAATAGTTTAAAATTTGCTTTAATATTCAATAATGGTCAAATGGCATTAGATATTTTTGGAAACAGATATGTTTTGTATATAAAAGTGTCTGGCATTTTAGCTATGAAAATTTGAGTTGGTATATTGTGATTCTGTATCGCCATCCATCATCTGATTAGCTAATCTAGCCCTTTTATCATTTTCTTGCTTTATAAACATATACAATCTGTCAATGAGAAACTTCTTATCGTGGCCTTCAAGAACTAATTGATTTTTAAGAACCCTTACCATATGTCTATTTGCAGAATTTACAGCTGTAAAATAGTAAAGCAAAAGTATTAAGATAATAAATACTGGTATAGCAAATGCTGCGGTTGTAATAAAGCTTGATGTGGTCTGCAACCAATTAGGAGCGTCAAGAAATGTTTTTACCATAAAATTCCAAATTGAAGGGAGATCTCTATATGGACCACATGATCTACTTGGCTTAAGTTCTGATATAGTAAAAGCTATTGGACCGAGTGCTACTATATAAGAAATTAGTAAAACTGCCATGAACATTGAATTTGATCTGGATGACCTGTATACAATTGCACTTGGCTTGCAATTTATTAAACAAGCAAATTTTTTAATATAAAATAATAGAAAGAATATAACTGTCCCCAAAATAGATATTAGAGGTGCAAAAAATATGCCAATCCAACACAATGTCTGAGTATATACAACATCTAATACATGTTTAGGTAAATCAAAAGTTTGTTCTCCAATAAACTTAATAAACTTGTTATCTATGTGCCTTGCTAATACTGATCTTAATGAATTTATAATAAAAGTCATTATTAAATGTGTAGCAAAGTCTGTTAATATTAGTTTGTAAATTTGTTGACCAACAAAAGATTCCCAGCAAGTACAATCTACAGTTTGCCTAGACTGTATTTTTGAGTACATAGATCCATAAAACACTATAAGAGATGCTAATCTTAAAGTTACAGCCCTCAATAATAAAATTCTTATTTCAGCTATAGGTCCATAATTCTCATAACTAATTAAAAATCGAAAAATCACTGGTATAAACATATTTAAAGCTACAATTGTTAAAGATGGAAGAAATTCATAAAACAATATTTGTAATTTTTCCTCTATATGTTCTGTAAGTACACCCAATTGTTGTGTCGATAAAATAAAAATAAAATATATTGCACAAGAGCATAGTGTCAATATAGCTAACACTATGGTATTTACTAAAAATCTAAAAAAGATAATTTTATATTTCTCCTGTCTTGTTCTGCTTTGCCGCTCTTCCTCCAACTTTTCAGTCTGCAAATATATTTTAATTTCATTAAAAATGGCTTGATGCTTAACTCTAGCACTTTTCTCATTATGAATACAAAAATCCCACCCACCAAAGATAAGATTAGAATACTGGTAAAGTTGTCCTTCTCCTTCTACTATTCTTTCTCTAAAACCTTTAGCTGCAGTATGTAATATAGTATAAAGTGAGAAAAAGAAGTATATTAATGTCACCAAAATATATGCTAATGGCATATTATAATACATTTTGGTATTGTTTGTCATATATGAAAATGTCTCGTTTGAATAGAATGAATAAAATAATGGCGTTTTTTCAAGCCTACCTGTACCCTGTATAATTTCCAAAAGTAAGGAAGATTCATTTATAGAACAAAAATATTGAACATCACATGTTGAATCATTACCTAAATTTACACAATCCATCTTCTTTAGCGGAAAATCTAATAAAAATGCGGGAAGGATTATAAACAGACCGACCAAAAGTAAAATAAATAGATTTAAAAAAAATAACCACTTCAGGAATCGGAAAAATGCTACCACTCCCATTCCAAAATGACCCTCTATATGTTTAAAATCACTTCGCCATAGTTCCACTTTATGGTAAAGTTCTATCAAACGAATTTTAAACTGATGCCATGCTTTCCTCCTCTTCCAGTTAAACTGTTCTAGTCCTTGTAGTCTAAAATGTTGTTCATTCTAAAAATAAAATAATCTTATTAAGACTTCTATCACACCAGCTTTATAATTTTTTATAATCTTATTTTATAATCTTTAGATAACAGGAATATAATAAACAATTTTATGGAAGGAATCTACCTGTACTAATGTAATAAAAATAACTTCATTTACTTTCCTTACCATAATTTTTGACTTTTCTTCTCTCTTTTTAGCCATGGGAATTGGTGATGCTTTAATCAGCATAATAGCTTCCCAAGCAGTTTGTTCATTTGACCTGTTACAATAAAATTATAATAAAACTTAATATTCTTCTTTGTTAGCAGTTTTTACCTCATTTCTGAAAGATCAGGCAACATTGACTGTTGTACTTCTCCAGCTGCTGATGCCCTTCTGTGTACTGTAGAATCTCTACGCGATCGACTTGCGGTATGTCTTCTTACAGTACTTCTATAAGTCTTTGCATCATTAGTCCTTAATCGCATAGTGGTTGCTCCTATGAGATTTTATCACGCAAAATAATTTTAATTAATGTACCTAATAACTTACCTGCCCTATTCTGTTTACTTGGAAGCAAAGTGGCTAATCTTTTGGGGTCTTTCCATAAGACCTCAATATCGGAGTCACCAGGGTAACTTTCTTGATAAAATTCAGAACCAGCTTCTTCCCAACCCTGGGATCGAACACCTTTTTTCTTTTTCTCTCCCCCCGACATATTTGTAGCTCACAATCAACACTAATCTATCTAATAGGTATTTCACTAACATACATTGTTAGCTAAACTACCACTAAACATTTTTTTGGTATTTCAACAACAATTGAATGAAAAAAACATGACAATACACCCCCTCCACTTTTTAAATAGAAATGTCAGATCTGTCGATCTGTCTGGAAATCGAAATGTCGAAATGAAAATAATAGATAGGCAATAGATAGGACAAGCAAGCGAAGCAAGCAACCAGCAAGCACCCCAAGCAAGCACCCAACATACAAAATACGCATTGATCATATACATCCATTTTTTATATGACCAGCCCATTTCTAATTATTGACCAAAGAGTATATATGCTATTCTTTTATGTATTCTGTTTACGTTTAGTTTGACGTTGATTTGATTGGGACACGATAACCATAACCTGTTTGAGTTCTTTTAACTTTCAATATTTACGTTGTATTTGTAAAATTAAATAAGATATTTTCTGGATGAAGCATATTATTTGATATATTCAAGAAGTAAAATAAAGCTTAACAATGGTTTTAGCAGATTTAGGACGTAAAATTACGTCAGCCCTACAAGGATTAAGTAAGGCAACGATAATTAATGAAGAAGTAAGTTCTACCAGATGTTAAGGTTCCAAAGTTTTCGATAATTTTTAACTTTTGTTAAAAAACTATTAGGTTCTCAATGGAATGCTCAAAGAGATTTGTGCAGCTTTACTTGAAGCTGACGTTAATATTAAAATGGTTAAAAAATTACGAGAAAATGTAAGATCAGTAATAGATTTTGATGAAATGGCTGGAGGCCTTAATAAAAGACGTATGATACAAAGTGCAGTTTTCAAAGAATTAATCAAGGTACTTGATTTATATACGTATTGGACATTTTGGTATACTTATTTATTTTAATATAGCTAGTTGATCCAGGCGTAAAGCCTTATCAGCCTATAAAAGGACGGCCAAATATTATTATGTTTGTTGGTTTGCAAGGATCAGGTAAAACTACAACATGTACAAAATTAGCGTATCATTATCAGAAGAAAAACTGGAAGTCATGTTTGGTTTGTGCTGATACATTTCGTGCTGGTGCTTATGATCAAGTCAAGCAAAATTGTACCAAGGCTAGAATACCTTTTTATGGAAGGTATGTACTGTTAATTTTTTACAGACAAAACTGAATGTCAATTGATTAATTGATTAAAGAATTATTTTATATTTTTAGTTATACTGAAGTAGATCCTGTTATAATAGCACAAGATGGTGTAGAGATGTTTAAAAAGGAGGGTTTTGAAATTATTATTGTAGATACTAGCGGTAGACACAAACAGGAAGACTCTTTATTTGAGGAAATGTTGTCCGTTGCAAATGCTATAGTATTATTTTTATTTTTGCTAAATCCTGTTATTTAAATTTACATATGTTTTTTTTAGAAACCGGATAATATAGTATTTGTGATGGATGCAACAATAGGTCAAGCTTGTGAAGCACAAGCAAGAGCTTTTAAAGAGAAAGTAGATGTAGGATCAGTAATTATTACAAAGTTAGATGGACATGCAAAAGGAGGTGGGGCGCTTAGTGCGTAAGTATAGAAATGGCATAACAATAAATTAATGTGACCTGAAAATGTAAACTAAAGAAGTTATATTTTTTCTTAGGGTGGCAGCAACCAATAGTCCAATTATATTCATAGGTGTAGGAGAACACATTGATGATCTTGAGCCATTTAAAACAAAACCATTCATTAGTAAGCTGTTGGGTATGGGAGATATTGAAGGTTTAATAGATAAAGTTAACGAATTGAAGCTGGAAGACAATGAAGAACTACTTGAGAAAATTAAACATGGAGAATTTACTTTAAGAGATATGTATGAACAATTTCAAAATATAATGAAGATGGGACCTTTTTCACAAATTATGGTACAACCTTTTATATATATGTATGTAATAGCTCTAAGAGCCTAAAAAGCTCATGGCTTGATTGGTTATCTTTCTCCATTTGTTTCCGTCTTTCGCCTTTATTCTCCATCCATCTACTCTTATCCTTTTCAAGTCCTCTTCAACATCCTTTTTCCATCTGGTTCTCAGTCTACCCCTCCTTCTCTTTCCACCTATTTCACGTTTCATTATCATACTAGGAATTCTTGCTTCGGCCATTCTTTCAATGTGGCCCAGCCATCTCAGTCTTTGTGCAAACTTCTAGAGATGTTCTCACTCTTAATAATTTTCTGTCGTGCACTAACACATCTATTTCCTGCCATTATTCTTGGCATAATTTCTTACAACCTTTTATACTGATCATTTTTATTATATTTGATTTTATGTTTTTGTCTAGGGTATGATTCCAGGGTTTAGTCAAGATTTTATGTCAAAAGGTAGTGAACAGGAATCTATGGCAAGGTGAGTCATTTAATTTTATTGTATATAAAAAATAAATAATTATTTGTTTAGATTAAAGAAACTTATGACAATTATGGACAGCATGAATGATAAAGAACTTGACAATAGAGATGGTGCAAAACTATTCTCAAAACAGCCATCCAGAGTGATAAGAGTATCACAGGGATCTGGAGTCACAGGTATTATCACTTGTGTATAATTTTATAAGATAGTTTAGTTAAGAGGTTTATATACAATTTTATACATATATAAACTGTCATACGTTCTGTATCATTATAGTCTTATATCAAGTGGGTTTTATATGTTCAGAGATATTTCATATTGGAAAATAATACAAGAACTTTTCGATCGCATGCTATTAATGCATGGTAAAACAAAATTTTTTATTTAGTTTTATTTGCTTTTAAACGTGTTCAAATAAATTATAAACTTATATTCGCCAACGTTCAGTATCATTGTGCGGAAACGTTCCCTTATAAGAGCATGTATGAGTACAAACATATTTAAGCATAAACGAGAACGTTTCCTCTATTTTTTAACATTTTTTAAAGCGATTCTCTACTTTTGAGTCTAATTAGCATATGCTTTTTACAAAAATAGTATTTTTCTTTATAGTATTTATAATATACCATATAATATAAACATTCAGCAAACGATAAGGTAATAACACCGAGAAAATTACTTCCCCCCCTTTCTTTTTTGTCGAAATTAGGACTACAGGGATTCCCCAGTATTACAGCTCTATTATCTACATACAGTGGTGGACATAAGTATGGAAATATTTTTTTTCCTAAAATATTTTGTGTAACTTTCTTTTTAAACTAATTTTAAATATATTAAATGAAACAACGTTTTGTAATTTATGGATATTTAGTTTTAATTTTCAAAAATAATTTCTTATTTTTCTTTTACTAAAAAACATAAAAATTACTATGGATAAAAGTATGGAAAGATAATTTTATAAAGAAACAAATCCTAAAATCTAATATTTAGTTGCGTAACCTTTGGCCTGAAGGACTGCTTTACATCTTCTTGGCATGGAATCCACAAGGTTTTGACAAATTTCCAAAGGAATGTTCTGCTATTCATCTTGGAGTATCTCCCACAAATCTGTCGCATTGTGAATAGCCCTTAATCGAATTTTTCTTTCGAAAGGCTCCCAAAGGTGTTCAATTGGGTTTAAGTCTGGCGACTGAGAAGGCCATTCCAAAACATCCACGTTTGCCTCCAAAAACCATTTTTTTACCAATCGTGAGGCGTGTTTGGGATCATTGTCCTGCTGGAATCTCCATATTAGGGGCATCTCTTCTTCGGCAAATGGTAACATGTTATTTTGCAGAATGTCCCTTTACATAAAGCGATCCATTTTTCCCTCTATCTTTACTAGCGGACCAACCCCAGCTCGTGAAAAGCACCCCCAGATCATAACACTACCACCTCCATGCTTTACTGTTGGCTTCTGGTACTTTGCATCATATCTTTTACCTACTGGCCTTCTCACAAATGATCTACCATCAGAACCAAATATTTTAAATTCACTCTCATTACTCCAAAGCACTGTGTTCCAATTTTGAAATGTCCAATTTAAATGGTTTTGAGCAAACCGAATTCTGTTCTTCCGATTTCTTTTTGAGAGCAAAGGTTTTTAACGGCCACTCTTCCCAGAAGTCCTACCTCACACAAGCGTCGTCTCACGGTGCGATCAGTAACATTGATATTGAAATTGTCACATATTTCCTCTTTTATTTGCCGGGAAGATTTGTGTGGGTCTGCTAGAGAAATCTTTTTAATGAATTTTTCTATAAAAGGGGTGGTTTTTCGGGGACGCCCCGATTTTGGTCGGTTAGTTGTAGCTCCCAATGTTCGGTACTTTTTTAAAATTTTCGAAACTGCTCCTTCTGAAATCATTAATGATTTGGCAATTGTACACTGTTTCAAAACAAAATTCAAAAAAATCAAAACACCTCTATTTTTTAACTCTATAACTCTGTTGCGTAAGTCCTCAGACAAATACTTATTTTTACCCATTTTAACAATATGTTGCTTGCCTTTGCAATAAAATCAAACTAAACAAATCGATCACAACAGCAAAAATATCAACAAGAAAAAAGCTTTCCATACTTTTGTCCGAAGTGTAAACAAAATATGTTGATAAAAATAAACAATGTAGTTAGAATAAAAAATTATCTTGTGAATATTTGATATATTTATGCGGTTGTTAGCATACGAAAATATTTAAGCTGTATTATTTGTTTGAGCGAGATAAAATAGGAAATAAAAAATCTTTCCATACTTTTGTCCGCCACTGTATATAAAATGCTAATGTATATCTGTGTCGTCTCTACTGAAGTAACGACTTGCTGTAGAAAGTTGCTTTTTTTACTAAAAGATCTCTAAAGGCTCTTCTAAAAACTGTTGTCGCCGGATTTTTTGTTTTTCGTTTAATTAAAAAAAAATAAAAAGTATTTTTTTTCCTGATGTCGTGGCGGATGCGCCAGGCTTCAACTAGTATTATTATACAGATTTAGGTATTAATTTATTGATTTAATCTGCAAGTTACAGTATTAATGTTGACATTTACTCGGCAACATGCCCAGAAAGAAGGATTACATGTTCTGAATATCTATTTTTTTCTTTTTATTCTAAATGTTCTCATAAATTTGATTTTTCTCAAACCAAAATTAAAATTTTTTTGCAATATTTTGTCACCTCACCCCACTTTTTGCATATAAAGATTTTTGTAATTTGCCGCCCTGAGAGGTGTATGACATATGCCAAAATGTTTTTTTTTGTTAAGTATGCTGAAGAAATTTCATTTTTTTTATAAATTCTAATAAAATTTTTTTTCGCGTTTACTGCAAACTTTTTGCCACACCCTGTACTAAGGATCAACTAATTTAAACAAATCTAAATGAACCACATCAATAGCAAATTTATTGGTTAAATTTCTTGTCTTTAGAAAGAGAAGTAAAGGAGTTGATTACCCAATATACCAAATTCGCTGCCGTCGTTAAGAAAATGGGCGGAATTAAAGGCTTATTTAAAGGCGGAGATATGGCCAAAAACGTCAATCAGAATCAAATGGCTAAGTTGAACCAGCAAATGGCGCGCATGATGGACCCACGAGTACTACACCAAATGGGTGGAATGTCTGGCTTGCAAAATATGATGAGACAGTTACAGTCCGGAGCTGCTGGTGGACTAGGAGGTTTAGGGAATTTAATGGGAGGATTTGGTGGAAAGTAACATTGAAATAATAAGTCATGTTTATGAATGAATGTAATAATTCTGTATGTTAATTGTGTTTAAAAGAAATTTAATTAAAATTTGGTTATTTAAACATGATGTTTTATTTACTTCAACTGAATGAAAAAATATAAATCAATTAAGGTTTAATTTTGAAATATATTATAGATAATTTTAAATAGTAATTATGTTTTAAAATTAAGTTTTTGTCTAAAACAGAATGTGGCTCATCATGGGAAACGTTGTAAAAAGTTTGCCTGTTTAAATATGATATAAACAGGCTAAATTATCGCCGGCGGTATAGGCTTGGTGCATTTCAGTTGATTTTAAAAATTTCGACAGCAGCGCTCGGTACGGCAGAAATCAGAACTTTCCGGCTCTGTATTTCACGCAGTCCCGGTTACATAAACGGTAACCGGTTCATCGCATTATTATAATCGTGGCTTTGTCACAATATACAGGGTGTCTCAGATCTTAATCGGGAAAATTTAATAGACGATAGAACTTTTTTGAAAAAACAAAAAGTTCATATCAACTTGAAAGATTTAAAGCTTCCTTTTCGAGACACAGGGTGTTAAAGTTAATTAAAAAAGAAAGATGAAGATATTTGAAAAACTATTTAATCGATTTTGATATAACTTGACCCGTTTATAATACTTACTATGGGACTTAATTTGATGTAATTAGATTTTAGTTTAAAGGCCAGGGGCGGCTGTAGGGCATCAGTGTTAAATTATTTTAAAGGAAAAAATAGGCACGCCACTGCTTTTTTAGAAGTTTAATATTATTTTTGGATTTAGTAATTAAAAATATTATTTTTCTGTCTCCTGATTTTTTTGTCTATTTTGCTTACTTCTTGCGAAAAAACACTCCAGGATGGAGTGAATAAATGAATTTATTTTTTTTCGCAAGAAGTAAGCAAGATAGACAAAAAAATTAGAAGACAAAAAAAGTATATTTTTAATTATTAAATCCAAAAATAATATTAAACTTCTAAAAAAGTAGTGGCGTGCCTTTTTTTCCTTTAACATAATTTAACAGTGATGCCCCACCGCCGCCCCTGGCCGTTAAACTAAAATCTAATTACATCAAATTAAGTCCCATAGTAAGTATTATAAACGGGTCAGGTTATATCAAAATCGATTAAATAGTTTTTCAAATATCTAATTTTTTTTTCTTTTTTAATTAACTTTAACACCCTGTATCTCGAAAAGGAAGCTTTAAATCTTACAAGTTGATATGAACTTTTTGTTTTATTTTTGCAAGTTCTATCGTCTATTAAATTTTCCCGATTAAAATCTGATGACCTGTATTTAAGTATTTTAGTTGTAAATTACGGTAACTAATTAAAGGTACGAAATTTGTGCGATGTACCGCTGTTTCGGGTAATAAAAATTAAGTGAAAAAGAAGGGTAAAGAAGTAAAAATTAAGTTATTTAGTGACAATTTTAAATAATAACATTGTCGAAAAATTGTCACACGAAAAGGAGAGCATAGTTGCGTGATTGTTAGGGGCAATAACACTCAATACCACTCTCCCGGAACAACATTTTACAACTTCTCAGCTTTATCACACTGATTTGATGAAAAGCAAAAACGGATTCAGGCAGCTCGACGAAACGAGTAAACAAAGTGCCCATTACAAAATCAAAAAATGAAATAGGCATAATTTAATCAATATTACTAGTATCCTTCGTTTTAATCAACTAGTGCTTAGATTTTTTATGGAAATGTTCTAAAATTATAATTATGTACCTGTGTGTTATGTATTTCATAGAGGTGTATTTGTTTAGTCGGCTGTTTACAGTATTCCCCGATGGTGGCAGCACCGGCGAGGCATGCACCAAACCTATAGACAATTGACGAAAGAAAGGAAGACCTTAGACGGTTTTACGTATTTCTTGACATGAACACCACCGGCCGATATAATGCTATATATCAAGGGTGAGCAAGAAGTCGATTGCAATCGACCGGTCGATCGCAAGGCAAATTTGGTCGATCGCCGCGGAAATCCTAAGCAAGTAATTGAAGATGTTGAGGTAATTCCAGGACTTTTGGAAAAAATAAAGAAATTGTGGGATTAATAATCTTCACCTTTTAAAAAAGATTTAATTGTGAAAGGCATTAGCTAAAAAAATCGGATATTTCATATGGATCAAACGGCATTAGAAAGTGAAATTATGATTTACCAACTAATTTGATCTTCAAGCCTCAAAATTTGAAGAAGATATTTGGAAATATGTACACCGGGAAAATATTCCAGTAAACATTATTAATAATTATCCATGTTCTTTTAACTCTTCTTGACGTGAGTTTTTTGGCGCTTTAAATAATTATTGTTATTGTTATTTACAAAGTAAAGTAAGATGTACATTTTTGTTTCTATACTTTAGGATTTGGAATTAAGAAATGGTACAACAACTTATACATTTGTTTTTGTTATATATTTGTTATACAGTTGATAAAACGCTATCCTTGGAATGCTGCTATCAAAGTTGGGTCTGGAAATTTAATTTCTTTATGAGCCTATATGTCGAAAACTTAATAAATAATTTAAAGAAGGATAGAAAATAGTTTTGAATAGTTAGTTATCTACCCATACCTCGCTGAAATACGCCTTATGCTGAAACACAATGTATAAACATTGTATGCATTTCATATCACTTCCTCCCCTTAAACTACGCCTATGAGAAAAAGTCGATCGTGACACAATTTTGAGATAAAAAGTAGATCTCATATACAGAAAAGTCGGCCACCCCTGCTATACAGGGTTGTTCACCACATACGACACGGAGTATTGTAGCTAAACGATTAGATTTTTATAAATTTTAAGTTTTGGGTTCGTTGAAGGACTATTAGAGCTACAATTTAGAAATAATTTTAGAAGATACAGAGTGTCCCAAATAAGTAAAAAATGCTATAGTTGTAATTTTTTAAATGGAACACCCTGTATATTATTCTATTTTTAGATTCTACGATTGAAATAAAGGTAAATTTTATTAAGGTTTATCACACTTAAACCTTACCGTTTTTGAAATATTTTCAATTTTGTGAAATTGCAGTAAAAATTTTAAGGCTTCATTTCTCCAAGGGTATCAAAGTTTTTAATACTAAATATTTACTGAAGTTTATTTATTGATCAGTTATTGTGTTGCAATAGTAAAAATGATACTACCTTATAGAGAGTGTCTAAAATTTTATTTTAAATAATTACTAGTTTTAAACGGCAATCACTTGTTTAATTTAAATAGAACGCCCTGTATATTTTCGGAAAATCAGATGCATAATTTAATTGTCTATCAAACTGTATTATACTACTTTTTACCTATCCTTTCAAGTTTTCGTAGAAAATGCATTTTCTTATAATTTAGACCTCATTTATAAATATACCCATGGAATATTGACATTTTAGATTCTTTTTAAAGCAACAAATGTACAAAATATATAGGCTAGTAATATTATCATTTTTAACAAAATGATAATATTACTAGCCCATTTGTATGCAAAAAGAAAACTATTTAAATCTTCATAAAAGAGTATACCATTAATTAAATATACCAATATTTAAACAGTTTTTTTTTATTTTTTAATGAAATAAACAAACTATATCGACAATATTAGTATCTGTACTCTTTAAAAATTTGGTACATCTTTGAAAATAATCTAAAATGTCAGTATTCCATCGGTATATTGATAAATGAATTTAAAATTACAAGAAAATGCGTTTTCTACGGAAACTTGAAGCTATAGGTAAAAAATGGTATAATACAATTTGAGAGACCATTAAATTGTGCATCTGATTCTCATGAAATATACAGGGTGTACCATTTAAATTAAACAAGTTATTGCCGTTTAAAGCTAGTAATTATTTAAAATAAAATTTTAGACACTCTGTATAAGGTAGTATAATTTTTATTATTACAACACAATAACTGATCAATAAATAAACTTAAATATTTAGTATTAAAAACTTTGATACCCTTGGAGAAATGAAGCCTTAAAATTTTGACTGCAATTTCACAAAATTGAAAATATTTCAAGAACGGTAAGGTTTAAGTGTAATAAAATAACCTAAAAATAATATAAAATAACCTAAAATAAAGGTAAATTTGATAAAGGTTTAATAAACCTTTATCAAATTTACCTTTATTTTAGTCTTTACCTTTATTTAGGTTTAATAAACCTTTATCAAATTTACCTTTATTTTAGTCGTAGAAACTAAAAATGTAATAATATACAGGGTGTTCCATTTTAAAAAAATGCAACTTTGATATTTTTTATTTATTTGGGACACTCTGTATCATATAAAAATATTTTTAAATTGTAGCTCTAATAGTCCTTCAACGAACCCAAATCTTACAATTTGTAAAAATCTAATCGTTTAGCTACAATACTCCGTGTCGTATGTGGTGAACAACCCTGTATATGACTCAGGGCAACCTGTATCTTGAGAAAAATATTGTGAGAACTGTGAATTTTAGTTAGCCTACAGTCTGCTGCAACTTTGTGTATACATTAGCTTAACAGTGAGAAGTAATACCAAAAATTTTACCAAAACGTGTTTATTCTTAAACTAAAATAATACAACAAACAAATTAGGCAATAACACCCACATTTTTTTAATAACATCACAATATAAAATCACAATCTGTATAAATGCTGTATTTAATTTGATAATCAAATTGCACCTACCCTATTGACAGATATATAACATCGTTTAGAACTAAATAATATTTTAACATAAATATTTGATATATTTAAAAACATTCTGAAATAACAAAATTCGGCTAATATTAGATTTAATGCAAATAATATATTATAAATGCACCGTGTTTAATACTGATTTCTTTGGGCAAAATATAATAAATCATAGGCAATATCTTGTCACTTTTTTCTGAAAACTCTCTTCATTATTTTGTTTATAGAAAACGCTGATATTTTAATTCAGAAAACATTTAGAATATTAGAGATTCTCTATCTTGGAATTTTGTCTAGAAAATCCGCTTCAACGACCCTATCGATTTTTTCCAAAATCATATCCAATTTTTTATCCGACTGGCGATCTGTAAACAAATTATCGGTGGTCACTGTTTTACTACACTCACTCCTATGCCTATTTGAACAAGAACTAAGCGTTTTAAAGAAACTGTGAAGGTCTTCCAGTTGACTAATGCTGTTCCTGGTTAAAAGCAGTTCGTTTCTTTTCATTGGTAAAATGCCTATATGGGTATCGGCATATTTCCTATCCATTAATTCTGCTATTCTAACTACGTGCGGTGTAAACGAAGCTGTATGCGGAGTGCCTGATTTACGTATAAGATCGTCTCCCACAAATGCCCACCGATACCTTAAAAATTATTAATATAGGTGTGAACATTATCAATAGTAATAGTTTCTTACATCTGGAATTGTGGTAAAGTTGTAGCTGGCAATAATAGGGCTAGATCTAATAGTTTTGCAGTAGAGAGTTGTAATTTCAACCAATGAGGATGGCCGAGAGCATGAAGTCCATTGTTGCTATTTGTTGCCCAACTTGCATCCAGTGTAGACATCAACTTTATATGGGAACTGTTTTTAAATAGGTATTAGTTGTTGTACATCATATAGATTATTATTGAACTATTAAAACATTACATCTTATAATGTTCATAAAATAAATGTCGCATTTGATTTATACACGGTCTTTCTAAACCTTTCTGACAAAATAAAAGAGGCTAATCTTCAAGTGATTTTAAGAAGACGAAAAAGCGGTATACATTTTGTTCGAATGTTTGGTTAAGCTTCATTCAGAACCTCTACATTATAACAATATAACAAGAATAGCTCCCGTACATAGCGTTTAACGCCTTGGGAGTAGCCAGGTAACAGCTTGCCCTACAGGAGCCGTTCGGTATACAAGGAAGGAAATGTGGCTAGCACTACGCTTCAACCGCCTATTATTACCTCAGGATTGTGAATCCCAAGTACTCATTTAAGGCTGAGTCGACCTAGGTACCCAAACAATTTTTATTTTAATAAAAAATAATAAAAATTTTAATAAAAATAGTCGGCTGATGAAATGCCGGGTGTGGGATTCGAACCCACAACCTTGAGATTGGTAGACGAGAGCCTGTACCTCTACGCCACCGGGCACCTGTGTAAATAGTAGAATAAATTAGTGATTTCAATTAGCGTAGAAGTTTGTTTCTTTAATTTCAATGTAAGCATTCAGAACGTCAAAATTAGTGGTAATAAATTTCAATTAGAAGAAAAAGGTAACAACTCTAACAGCGCTTTCAGATGGAGCGGACCGTCCGCGTGTTTTTATATTAATGTGTTTATATGTGGCCGTCATCCAGACGGAGCATACGCGACCCATGTGAAATTATTCATATAAACTCATTGTACTTGCTCGAAGTCGCGGACGGTCCGCGCGGACGCTCCGCTCCATGAAAACGCTGTTAGTTAAGAGAAATTGTGGTTAGAAATGAAAACTGTATTGTTTCATAAGCTAATTATTAAATTTTCTCTATGGATACAATTGACTACCGCAAGTTGTTGCTATGATATTCTATTAATTTTAATTTTATTTTTTTAGACATTGTGAATGATCTTAAACTTTTAAGTATAGAGTATAAAGCCACTAATTTATATCACTAATTTCGAATTTGGAATGAGATTTTAAGCTTGATTCGGAACCTCGAAATTACTGGTTTCGATTAGCGAAGAAGTTCGTTTATATCATTTCAATGTAAGTATTCAGAATTACAAAATTAGCTAGTAATTTTCAAATAGTAGAAAAAGTTAACATACTTTTAACTTTTGCCACTAATTATACTTAAAAATTAGCCAGTACTGTCATTTTGGCCTTTGATCAATCTTTGATTATTATCCGTAAAGAGAAATTGTGGTTAGATATGAAAAGTTTATTGCATTATAACCTAATTATTAGCTTAAGGAGATTATTAGCTGTTAGGATATTCTATTAATTCTAATTGTATTAGACATTGTGAATGATATGTAAATTTTTAAGTATGAAGTGTAATTGAAACCAATAATTTATTCCACTAATTTCTGAATGAGGCTTTAGTCTTCAAAATACATACAGGGAGTTTTTTTTTAATTTTTATTTAAATATATTAGGGTTCAGAACCGGGAAATCCTGTTTCCGAAGCTATTCACTATTCAGCTTCCACATGTTCTTTTGAGCTATCAAGCCGGGACTCGGCACTCAAATTCCCGGTACTTCAGTAACAATATATAAAATAAACTATAATTATAAAAAGATCAATAAATACAACATGTTATACCGGGTGATGCATCTTTGTTGAAAACATAGTCTAGATTTTGTCTCCCCTGTTCATTTTACAGCGAAGTCGTAGAGGTTTTTTAAGGTCTGCCAATGCTGAATATACATGCGGAATTTGAACAATTTTGGATAAACCGATTTTAAGTAATTTTAGAAAAACTTCATCTATTTTTAAATTAAAACTGGTAACAATGCAAAACCAGGCAAATGCCGACGTAAGTTGTTATCTTATAATTTTGTCAATGACCAATTGTATTTTCTAAGCGTTAGGCTTTTGCCTCATTCGCATCAGTTTTAAATTACAGAAATGTATTTCGGGGACACTAACCCCAGAAAAATAACACAGTCAATAACTTCAGAATACGTAGACTTTTAAAAAACTTATTTACGACTTAACCGTAAAATTAATAGGAAGCATATTTGGACAGTTCAAAATTTGCATTGGATTTCCTATGTTTCCATCGATGCACCACCCGGTATATCACTGTACTAAAAGAATTTTTTCAAACAATAATTCTAGAAATAATCAGATTTTATTATTTAACGTTAGTGAATGTAATAAAGCAATATATGATAAGCTTAATGAGAGAACGTTTTAATAGGCAATATGTGTTAAGAATCCAATATATTAAATCATATATCACATTTTATGTTATGAACATAGTGTGAAGACAAACAAATAAAAAAACATCAAATTAGTAATATTAGAGGTAGGGATCAAAGGTGAACGCTAAATGTCTATATAGTGTGTGTTAAAAGAGTTATTTACCTGTTATTGATTCTGTAGAAACCAGGAAGCCCATCAAATAAAGCACAAAATAAATAATCTTGATTAAAATACATAGTAACTAGCAAATTATAAATATTTTTAAATACAAAGTAATCCAAAATTTCTAGTGATTCAATACATTAACGATTTATTTATATCAACAGAGAGAGAGAAATTAATTACCATAAACAGAATAACAGAGGACACAGGCTTTACAGATCATAAGAAAATAACTTGAGTTATAAAATGTTATTTTTAAAAATTATTTTTTATACTCTCAAATCACGAAGTTTCACACAAAAACTATGACATGCAGTTTGATAAACATTTCATATTTTAAGATGGTATGTAAAAGTGGCGTCCAGTGCAAATCAAAGCACGGTAGACAAAAATTGACAAAATAGTAAAATAAGTATAGCATAAGTCATTAATTAGGTAATCAAAATAATTATTTTTTAAATATATTGGGGATTTTCTTCAGATATGGCATCGCTGCACAGGACGCGCGACTCCGACAAAAACTTCGTACCTCCTTAAACCACTCGTACTTCCTTATTCTATCTCTTCCTTACACATTGGCCTTCCAGTCACTGGGGTCTGTAGAGTACGTGGAAGATTCACTAAGGGGCAACTTTTACCACCCCATAAGAGACGAAATATAAAGTAAATCCCCCCAGACCCCCTCGTCTTCGTGTAAATTATATGGAGTGCCTTTATGACTTTATGGTAGTAGTGGGAACTATCGAATGAATACTATAGAAACATTCGATAGTTGCAATTCATTCGAATAATTCGATAGTTAGTAAGAAAACATTCGTTGAAAACTATTCGAATAAAAATTATCGAATAGATCCGTCATCTGCCTTGAAATATTGTATTCTAGTAATTCGGTAGCAAAAACCATTCATTTATAAAATTCATTCATTTATAAAATTCATTTATTCGTCAGGATCGATTATAATAAAATATTAACTGAATTTTAGTTGTCGCCCGGCGACGTAGGTTTCTTTCCGAGAAACCCGATAGCTATGAAAGAAGCCGGCATCTTTGATTTTTTGCGGAGTCAGATATAGATAAGGACACATTATTTTTTTTATTGAGGTGCTAGTATTTACACAGAAAATACATTATGAAGGGCGCTGTTGCCATATTTTGGTATTAGTTGATATTAGCAAAGAATATTATTGTTTGGCTTTAGTTAGTTAGGGATAGTATGTCTATATATTCTGCTTTTTTTTATTAATATTCTGTTGTTACACTGCAATAATACTTGTTATTTTGGATGTAGGAAAATGATTTTTAATGTTTTTAAGCAAAGACTGGTTTAATAAATAATAATAACAGTAATAATTTGTTATACCTATTAACAACAAAATTTAAAATCATTTAATATAAATATTTTTTTTAAGTAGTAGCAAAATATAAACAACAAATTAGATGTCAAAATTATTTATATTAGATCCTATTTAAAAATAATATAGTCTCTAAATTTTTTGTGTGTGGCAACGTTAGTTTATTAAATAATAATTACAAAACTAATTTGTTATATTAACAACAAATTTTTAAATCATGAAATATAAACATTTATTAATTTTCTAAGCATGCAGTGTAATGAAAGGAAAATATAAATAAAAAATTAGAAATCAAAATTATTTATATTAGGTGCTTTATATTACTATTTAAAAATTATATTTACTTTTACTGGCATTTACTTTAAAAAATAAAGAAATATTTCTTCGCAAAAAACTACATGTAAGAGAATTAGCATAAACAAAATACAAACATCGTTAACTTTTTTTTTAAATTGGCACGTGTAAAACTTTCATTTTAATTTTCTCACCCCATAGTTTGAGTTCGATAACCCCCCATTTACTTAACCACATTACTTAAATATGATTATTAAGTTCAACTAATAAAATATAAAATTAAATAACTGAAAGATCGGGCTACGGAAAACCACACAAATTTTCGGAAAAATTTTGACCACCTGCACATGCACACAATCGTGAATAAATAAAATTAAAAAATAACTACTATTTTAGTATTTTAACTATTTTAATAAACGCAAAAATAGCACAGTATTTATACGGCGAAGTTATAAAAATTTGGAAGAACTAATAATGCCAGTGACGCATACAAAAATCAAACGAATACTAAATTTCATTTATCAAAAGCATTCGATAGGTAGTCGTGGCTCAACGATAACCATTTAGTCGCACGGCGAGGTTGTCACATATGCTTTAGTATACAAATGAATGAATGATTTTATTCGAATAAAACCATTCGATAGTTGAAATCATTCATTCATTAACCATTCGATAGTCTAATTCATTCGATAGTTCCCATCGCTACTTTATGGTAAATTTTATGTAGGAATTGCGCAGTACTCGAAAATTATTTTACGCAATCTCTAGAATTAAAATAAGATAAAAAATGCTTAATGCGATTTGTTGGATTAGTAATAAGTTATAATGTAAAGATATAAAAACAAATATTTTATTGTATTGTCTGGGGTGGGCAACACCTTTTCGCCTAGATTATTGCACGCCACTGATATACAACTCAAAATTTATTATAAACAATCGACATTTAAAAACGTTTAAAGTTCTTTATAATGTATCCTCTGTTATACAGGGTATTTAAAAAATGCACAGCCAAATTTCAGGTCAGGATTCCTCATCAAAAAATACGAAAAAAGTTCCTATAAACATCGGTCGGGAAAAGCATAGTTTTAAGTATACAGGATGTTAAAAATTAAAAAAAAATACTTTTTTATAATCATCTTAAATATCATTATTTTTTTAATCCCAATTATCCTTTTAATCCCAATTAGGTAGCGCTGAACATCAATGTTATAAATTGTTTTAGTTTGTTATCAAGTATTTCAATACTTCACTCTAGATGCAAATCGAAATTTAATTTTTAATTTTTCTAATGGGGTCCAGAGACCTCTCATAAATTGGTTGTATTTTTTTCTCGAACACAGTTCTAGATAGACATTTACCATACAAGAGAAAAAAAAAAGATTTATTTGCTTTTAATTGCAAAAAACTATTTTTTAAAAGTTTAACATCCCTACATCTTTAAAACTACGCATTTCCTTACCCATGTTTAGGGAACTTATTTCCAAATTTGTTGATAGGGAATCATCTCCTTATGAACATATAAACACATAAGAACTTATATTAAATACCTAAAATTGTTAATACCTTCTAAATTACTACACAATAATAAAATAGGATAAACTATTCCCAAATAGTTAATGAGATTAAAGCTTCTACACCACATTAAACAGTACAAAAGATGAATGTCTTACCTAAAATCCTCAGTGTCAGTTGTCAGTTCTTGTTCAATTTGTAGAAATACCTGTAACATTTCATTTATTATAATTGGCCAAAGGCTTGTAACATGTAGCGGGCTTATTCTGATAAGAATAACTCGAAAACAGAGAAACACCTGGGCCTGTATTCCTGGAGTGTTCAGTCTAAGGTTTGTCGTAAGTTGCTCTAAAAGAAAACCAATGTATATATTTTTTGTACAAATCTAATTTTGTTCATTATAGCTATGATATAAAATGACTAAGAAAGGAGACTAATATTTTTATCTCCGTGCATTAGAGACGGAATCGGAAATACCTTCTTTTGTCAGTTTTCTTTTACGTTTCACTTGGCACATCTGCATTTGACTTGAATTTTTGTGTATTTGTTATCGGATTTTATTTTATGTTGTTTCGGATCGGTTAGGAATGTTAGGATTAGGAGCGGTTCATGTTTCCGATCCTAACCCTAACATTAGTGCTAATCTCAAGAATATGAATCAACGTTAACGAACACTAACGGCCATGCTTCCCACGAATCGATCTTAACATTAGCCTTAGCGCTAACGGGTCCTAAGAAATAAGGGACATTTTATATTCTTAGGGCCAATGCTTAACAAAACTAATGGGTGATTTTTTTTTAGCTGAAATCACTTATAAAAAAACCCAAACACAAAATCAGAAAAAATTCTCTAGATTTATATGGTTTATTACTAGAATAACTGAAATCGGTTACATAAAAACATGTTAATTCTTTTACATTCTAAAGATTTGTTAAACATAAACACACAAAAAGCTTCTTGCAGAAATAGTGTTAACTTTAGAATAACTGATTTAGTTATGATTTTTATTCTTGCTTTTTCGCATTTAATTTTTAACAAATTTAATAACTAATAAGATTGATTGACTCAACGCGAAAAAAAACAACAAATTATTGAGTATGTGCATACATATACATATATTTTATTTATCTGTCTATATTTTAACCCATTTAAAACACGATTGGAAGGCCACCGATGGATTTTAAATGGGTCATATTAAAGTAACATCCCGATCGCGCTAATTTTGTGTATGCGCCCCTTTCTCAGCCTCTTTATTAATTTTACAGCTTAAAATCTATAGAGTGTCATACCTTGTATTTCAGGCATATATTTTGCATATTGATCAATTTCACTGCAGAATATCACATATGCGAGTCTTTTTAATAATTGCGCTTTTTGTTCATGCTCCTGCTCTCTAGACGAAAAAATACCCAGCGTTCCACTAGGTGTTATTGAAACACGATCTAAAAAATACAAATATTTAAAAACTCGATTACAGAGTCAAAATGAATCTCACTCATTAAATCTCTGAAAGTGGTATTGTCATGGGTCATCAAATTATCAACTATCACTCTCCAGTACTTTAGACATGAGTGATCCATTTGGAAGAGAGTGTTGTCCAATAGCAAATCAAAAACGTCCTTTTTCCAGGCTTTTCTTGTGTACTGATAACTACTTAGGCTCGATAAAAGTTTGGAGCACGCAGTAAAACTAGACATATTTTTAATTGTATGCGTTCTCAAATAAGGTACTATGTTGCACATTAGTGAAGCTAATATGTTATTCACTTTGTCTTTTTCAGACGAACCGAAACAAATATCTAAAATAGGAGCTAAAATTTCTGCTAAAACCTAAAAGAAAACATTAAACTGTTAAAACAGTAAAAATACATAAAATTATTGATATAATATCGAAATTGTGTATAAAAATGTAAATACATATAGGGTGGCGCACCTCATTCGCCTCGGTTGATTATACGAAAACGGAAAGATGTAGAATCAATTTTTTTATGGGTATATGAAGAGAGACAATGTGCATAATTTAACATTATTTTCAAATGTACAAGGTGTGTCAGAACTAAGATCCATACCAAAGTGTTTTATTTTTTTTTCTTATGGAACACCCGGTATTTTATTTCATTTTTGGATCCTTGGGCATAAAATAAGGCATTTATTATAAGGGTTTAATATGTTTAAATGCTTTGGTTTTTGAGATATTTAAAGATATTTAAATATGCATGCTGTAATAAAAACAATTATTGTCAACACACTTTACATTACCTTTCAAAGTTAATTATTGTGCTGACTTTGAAGCCAGAGAAATAAACTTTTCTAAAAAAATGTATTGCTTCCTTAAATGTATACAGGGGTATCAAAAATTGCTGATCTATTTAAAATATATATTATACATAAAAACTTCGTGATTTCAAATACCTATAAAAATTATCTTTGTTTTTATATTAAGTTTGTGTGTTTTATATTTACATTAGTTGTCTGAGGATATAACCACAGATTAGGCATCCTATAAGTATACAGATAAAAATCTTGTTCCTAATTCGTGGTACGAAAATTGTGTTTTTTGTGACGATGAGCAAACAAGTAAATTTTCTTGTGCGCAAAAATAAACTCCCGTTTAAACAGCGTAATAACTGGGCCGGTCACAAGGCCGGTCAGGCGCTGTGCACAATTTTAGAGGCCATAAGTGGTCGTGCTTGTGCGCAAAATAGTAACCTAACTAGTGCGCGACTCCGAAAATTGGAACCACGAAAAACAATGCTACTGACGATAAGTTTATAATCTGTATAATCTGTTATATAACTAAAAAAGCTACTTACCAATTGGGCTTGTACACTGTGACTAGAACTTAATACTATATCAGCGGAACCACCATTTACAATACTGGACTCTGGAATACTATCTTCATCATGTTCTCTAACGGCGTAATTTCTCCTTAGCCATGTGGTCTGTTCCAGACAAGATCCACAAACTTGGGAGACACAGTCTATCAACTGAAATATTATACTTTAATAACGTAAATATCATTAATTTCAGGTTATTTACTTTTGCAGTGACGTCTTGTAAATCTTTCTGGTCTTTCTTCTCCTCCAATGGACAACATTTAATCATCATTTCATGTAAAATAGCTGCTAATAAGAATTGCGCAGGAGGAGTTAGCGAATTTACTTCTCTGATAAGAGACAACAAAGATCCCCATGCTTCTGAGAGCTGAGTGGCCGATGCATTACGCATATAACTATAAATTGAAAAATATAACTAAAAAATATAACTGTCTATATCTATATTCTCTCGTTTAAGAGACCGACCTGGTCATCCTGAACAGAAGGCTTTAATTTTTAATATGAAGCCCTAATAGAAATTTAAACGTGTTAAAAAGAGATAAAAAGTGTGCTGATACATTTCTCTCTATGCGGTATTGCCGGTTTTCCTCTAAAATATTTAATAATGATCAATAAAGCGTTTCGGGTATTCATGTAGTAAGAGTTAGACAAGTAGTTAGTTAAATATCAATATTTAGAGTAATTACGCTTCAGTTCTAATGTCTCACACGGCCCAGCTACGTCAAAGACATTAGATGATACGAGGGTATGGACGGTGGAACGTTTAGAAACTTTATCCAGCTGTTGTTCCATAGCAAGAGTGTAAAATCTATTGAGACGCACCGGTCATTCACGCCAGAAAGAGGCCGGCTGAGAACGGATATATTGTGAGTAAGAGTCGATTTAGGCACTCGTCAAGTCGGTAGGCGATTAACTATATGGGCGAGGACCGTGGTTCGTATTCCGCGTAAACAAAGTAGGCCACATTAGTGATAGCAGCAAAAAGGAGAAGTTAACTCAGTTTAAACTTAATATACCACATAACAGTTTACATTTTGTCGGTTGAAGCTACGCCGCTTAATTCAATTTTGATTTTTCACTCCTTAATCTTAAATCACGCCTAGCGTTGGTAGAAACTGGCAACCCTGCATTTTTTGTATCTCTGTCTTGCTCAATAAAATACAGACCACCGGTTTAGAATGATTAGGCCGGTACCTATAAACTGGTTTATGTTTACATGCATAAAATATATTATGCTTTAAGTAAAATAGATTATGCTTTAAGTAAAATAAGAATGTGTGGACGACTAGGCATGGCAAACGACGTTTCTGAAATATCGATGGTTGAATATGACTGAAATATCACTGTTGTAAACTATCGATGTATCGACATTTTTAGCACTTTAAAAAGAAAAACTCTAAAAACTAAATAAACTGCTCTGGTTATGGAAAAATTCTATAATTATGAGAGCCGCATTTCTGTTTTATTACATTCAAATAAAAAAATAATTTAAAATATGGATGTGAGAGATCTTTGCGACGTTTGCATCCCTGTGGACGAAAGAATAGGATAAAAGGTCAGAATATATTTATTCAAAAATGATAACGTTCTAATTTATTACCGTAAGATCCTTTCCTAATTCCTAAAATATTTAATAATCCGAATCGTCTTATTTCGCGAATCGGACTATATATCGAAGTACTCTTCGGGTACTTCTTATAAAATATACAATTTCAACATTTTATAAAGCGCGTTGAATAAAAAAAACTTACCAATAAAATAACTCTAATACTGAAACATCCAAACAAATATCCGAACTAAGACCTTCACAAGGAGGAGGGTTCTTTATCACAGCAGTTACAGTTTGTACTAAATTATCCAAAGGAATAACTCTTATGGCGGAAATCAGATACACTAAATTATTCTGTCCAACAGTAGGCTCCGGTATAACCTAAAGAACAATCATTACTTATTTTAGGAAGAGAGGTACACTGAAAACTTACAGCTTTAAAATTAGAGAACGGGTTTCTTCTTTCGTACCAAGCGACGCCTACGGCAGCCAAAAAACTAGCACCATGGTGAACAGCTATTGGACTTAGAAACTCTAAAAGTTGTTGCTTTACAACTTTAGAATTTCCATATACACTGTTGTAGTCGCTTTCTATACCTTTAATTCGATTAAAATTAGCGATATAATTGCTTTCATAATATGTTGTAAATGTACCATACCTACAATAGTTTGCCAAAGTTTAGCTACACTCGAAATAATCCTAGGCATATGACTCAAAATAGTTTTACGCGCGTGTTGATAATAGTCCGAATTCTGTTTTGTGGACGAGTTCAAATCCGAACTTAATGGAGAAAAAAATACATTAACTAAGTTATTTAGTATTTCTCCAGGATTAGTTACAACAGGTGTGGTAGCAGAGGCAGGTACATTTTGGTTTACAGTCTGTGACGGATCCAGAAGGCAATAGTGACAAAGTATTGTCAGAGATTCCAGTTGAGTTACAGTATAATCCGACCCTAGTTCAAAATCATCTAAATCAGGCTTTTTGTAGTTTATAGCTATGTCTTCAATATTATTGCAAATCTATAAAAAAAGTATTAGAATTATAAAGTTGTTGAGAGAAATCTGAATTGTAGTTTAAAAATACAAGAAACTTTAAATACTACTCTATTATATACTAATATTACATTCTAATTATAATTAAAATGTTATTAATTATCTCGATTTACCTGGTGTATGACGCTCAAAGAAATTTGCTTCAAATTATCGCCAAAATAGGGCAAACAACAAGTGACCATATTTAACCATTTTTCATGTAAATTCCTAATATTCTGATTTCGTAAAGCACTTAATATTGCTGACAAAAATATCTGCTGCTTGGGTATTAGAACTGTAGGAGAATAATTTAAATGCTCCCCACTCATTGAGCTGGCCAATGGTTCTGGTGTAGGCTGATTTGCTGACTTAGATGATGGAAATACGGCATGTTCCAGAATAATTAATGAATGAATTAACCTTAAACAAAAAATATAGAATTTAGTACATAGTTCTAAACGGTGATTAGAATATAGTCAGTAAATCAAAAATATCTGTTTTTTTATATCTTTGATTTACTGAATTTATTCAAAGTTAGAAAACCACACTAGTGTAAATTGCATAAAACCTACCTTAGTAATTGAATTTGAAACGATTCTACATGTTCTCCAGTCCTGTTTTCACTATTACACAATTGAAAATTGTTGAAAAGTAAAATATCCTCAGCAAAAGTCATATCTTCATCAAAATCGCGTACCGACATCAGAAGGCAAGGCAATAATATTTTTTGTATCTTACACTTAACCAACAAATCCGCTATGTAACTAGCAAAACCTTTATTTGAATTCTCTTCAACCATTGATATAAGGTTTTCAATTATAACATTTAATATATCAAAACTTTCTAAGTGGATTTTAATATTATGCTCTAATTCGTCTATAATGGGACAGGAATCTTCATAAAAGGGGAAAAAAGTTCGTATAAAATTTAGACAAATGGACAATATGACGTCAAGAAACATATATCCTCTGTAAAAGTTGATGTATTCTTGACCGACTTCGCCGCTAAAACCATTTCCCAAATAGCTCTTCCTATGTCTAGCCAATAAATATAGCACGTCATTATTCTTTAGGTCCTTGATACCACTGGTTGCAGAACATTTAATAAACAATTTGGGGTTACATAGTATACAGCCTTTTAATGTTTGCAAAGCATAAATCACTTGATTTGAATCAAATATTTCGTAATATAAACATAAATGCGAATGTATGGGATAAAGAACAAAGTTTTTCGAATTACAAGTATTAATTTTGTTCCTTAAATCTAAATCAGTTGGTCTGCTAGGCGTGCACGACCGTAAATCACAATCCTTATCGATTTCTTTACAAACTCTTTCCAAAATTTCATTTAAAATAGTGGATACAATGGCATGTTCTTCACCTTTGCCATTGAAAAAATCTTCGGCGCTTTTACTGATCTCCAACTCGCAATTTAAGTTCGCAGAATCCGATATACAATATGACCAGCTCTGTACTAACGAATTTTCTATATCGTCGGGCTGGACGTTGCTTTTTTCATCGAAACTTCTTGATTTAGATAACTTTACTGCCTTTATTCCATCCGATATTGGTTCAATACTTTCTAGTAAAGATTTTGCACTATTGTCGACAAGGGCATTGAGGATTTCTGACTGTTTTTTTTGTTTTAAAGTATTATATCCACTGTCCCTCTCACCTATAGATATATTTAAAGTTCTTAGGTAATATACTGGGTGCAAACAAAATCGTTGCACAGACCGCCATTACATTTTTATTAACTAAATTTTAAAGTTGCGTGAATATGTTTACATATTGATATGTATAAAGCTACACGCACACTGGTGCGATCACGGCCGCGATCACGATCACGATCAGGGCAGCGATAACATGAGCGATCATTCTAGCACACACCAACGGGGTCGCGTTCACCGCCGTACCTATATGTAGTGAGCTATCCTGTAGGTATACATACGTACAAATTAAAAATGTGAATTATGTATACCGAAAATAAAACATTCTTAAATATTTACTTAAACTTAAACAATAAAAATGTATACATAATATATACTATCCAATTCAATTGCAACTCCAATTGTCTCAAAACTTTTGATTTTTAATTCTATTATTTTTGTAACTTGGATCGGATAAATCATATAGAATTTTGTGTATTTTTACGAATTTTTACAGCCTTAATTAGCTGCTCTGTTACCTCTTATTTAACATTTATAAATTGCAACAAGAAAAAACACACAAAATATCGGAAAATTCCTATCAGTTGGGTCGCGATCACGCGATCAAACTCGACAAGCTGAATCTGATCGCCACCGCAGAATAGAACGCCGCCAGGCCGCTTCGTCTCCAAACCCCGATCGCGCCAATGTGAAATGGCTCATATGTATTCTTCAGCAACGTTTGGCCGCGGCCGCGTGGAGATCGTGATCGCGGCCGTGATCGCACCAGTGTGCGTACACCTTAAGCAATTTTCAATTCTTTTTTCAGATTTTTCAATAGAACAATTGAACAGACTTTCAGTTTAACCGGAAGTGGGCAGAAACAGAGAATTTAAAATAAGAAATTAAAACCTTGCCTTAGATATTTACAAAGAGCTTAAAATTTTCGTTGCAACAATGTAATTTCAATGCTGGTATTATATTTTCAAAATGGTGGCGTATAACGAGTTTTATTCCAAATTCAAGTTGGTGGAATTGTGCAATTACTAATAACAATCACGTCAAACTATTTTCTTGATATTTAATTGAGTTGTCAAATTAAGTAATTTGTTATAAAAAGCACTTTCAACTTGCGTTGAAAATGTCAAAATTAGTCTCAAATTTACTGCAAATTTAAAACGGAAAGTGAGAAATAATAGGAATTAATAAGTGTGTATATATTTTTGTTAATATCCCTCTGATTTTTCAATAGCCAACTAAGATAGTTCATAGTAAGCTAAAAAAATACAGGGTTTAAAGAAGGCATCCATTCTTCTCAAAGAGACCTGGTTTAAATTAAAAAGAACTATAAAGACTCAAAGTCTCGGTCTCAACGTTTATATTAAATTAAACAGTGACACGTGTTTTCTTCCAGTTAAACTGGAAGTGATGTAACTATTTTTTTTAATGTAAAATGTCAGTTCATCGGAACTGATGTTCATCGGAACAGTATATTGTATTCGTATTTACCAAATTTATACGACAATGAAATAGAGGTCAATAGCTGGCCATACATACAGAGGTTGATCTGTCGATTATAATTGCCACGGATAAGGTTTTATCTGTCATATATTAAACTGTTGTCATCCACTAACGTAGATTAAAAATTCGCGGTTAATTCTTAGAGATTGATCCGTCATAGGGAACACCGGGCGTTAGTGGGCGAATGCCGTAGATTTATCTGCCGTTTGAATCGAAACTGTGGAATTTCGAATTCGCGAAAGTTTTGTACACGGTTTGATAATCGGTGGTATAACAAGTATGCCTATACGTATGCTTTAAATGTTTTGTGGAAGGCAAAAAGTAGTTCTGTGTTGTGGAATAATTATTAATATGCAAATAATTGAAAGTAGTGCTGTAAAAAAGACGTTCAAAGTGGATTAAAAGTTATTTGCTGAAGAAAAAAAAATTGAGCCATAATCTTCTTTTAAAAGAATTAAAAGAAAATGGTCTAGACGATTTTAAAAATTATTTGAAAATGGATATTGATACGTATGAGCTTTTGTTTAGTTTAGTAAGATAGGGTCTCACATTGCAAGATGCTCCAATGAGAGCAGCAATAGGGCCAGAGGACCGGTTAATGGCCACCCTTCGTTTTCTTGCAACGGGAAGATCATATGAAGATCTAAAGTTTTCAACATGCGCCATAATATTCAACAAATTAAACTTGTCTTTGAACATAGACATGTTGACTACCTTGTCGCACTAAAACTTTTCAAATATTTATTTAAGAAAACTATCTGTTAATGGGCAACGACGGATTTAACTGGTATGGTGTAAACTGACATTCAAGTCTGGACCAGTTAAGACAGGCGCGCTCCTTCCCATTAATTAAAAGGTAAATATGCCGGTTTAATCTGCGCCGTTCCAAACCTACAGATCAACCTCTGTGTGTATGAAACGATTTTTTTGCGACTAGACATTTTCTTGAATCTCGTATTAATTACTTACCTGTATTTGAATCTGATTTTTCATATGTTTTGTCAACTGAATCATCAATACTAATAGTGTTATCACTGCTGGATAAGCTCTCTGAAGAATTATGAGAATCTAGCAATGAATAAGATCCTTCCAATCCATGCGGATAAATCTCTTTAGAACTTAATGGATTTATAATCACTTTAACATTTCCTTTGGAATGCTTATCTAAGCTAGGCGAGACGTTATAACCTTTAAAATCCTTATTTTTTGCTGTGATGAAGTTGTTAGTATCTTCAACTAAACTAGTAGTCATGTTGACGGCCGAAGCAAACTTTTTTCCTGGCTTTGAAAACGCAAACCACTTCTTTTTCGGCGATTTTGGTCTAGTATTTTCTGTAACATGATACATAATGTTACCATTTACGCTACTAACAGCGTAGACTTTTTTAGAATGAGATTCTTCTTTTTTCTGATTATCTTGATTGACATTATCTTCTAAGGTATCCCCGTCGCGGATGTTTATGTGTCTTATAGAAACTCTGGCCGTATTTGAAGAGAGAAGTCTAAACAATATGGGTGTTAATATTCTAGAAATATCTCCATGCAAAAGGCAGTGATTGAAGAATGATTCTGAGAGTAATTGCAGTGTAGGTTTTTCTTTATTTTGAAGCATGTCTAAGACTCTTAATAAAGATCTAAAACAAGTATTCTATTAAATTCTTGTAAATATAAACCATACCTTTAATACCTGTCAAAATTTCTAGTACTACATTTATTCGGCGGCAGTTTAATGTTTAAATCACGACCTAAATGCCACAGAAGAAAAAACTGCTTAATATACTTCGGATTTATATTATCATTTGTAAGATATTTTCCAATTTCTTGTTCCACAAACAATTTACAGTCAAAAGTATTATGGATTTGATAAAGTAATGTAACACACACCATTAACTGATTTTGATTCTTAATGATACCAAGAAGCCTCCATAAAATTTTTGACATTTCCTGTAAAAACAACACATACATAAAAATAACGATATACTATGATATAGAGGTACATGACGCAAATGTCATTATAGCAATCAGAGATATAGAAGGGATAGCAATCAAAAAATTATTAGATTATAACCAAATATTAAATCAAAAATGCAATGGCTAAACACCTGTCGGCCGTATTGTTAATATAAAAGAAATACCGTCATACAGCGGCATGATATTTCTATATCGGATGCGTCTTGAAAGTGGCTCACCCCTATAACTGTTTTATTTTTTCAAATAAAAAGAACGAGATTTGGTTGGTAGATTTGGTATGTCTAGTATATGACATAAATTAGGATTGATTGACGTATTCAATTCTTTTCGGTCACTTCCTGTTTCACCGGAAATTACTATAATTTTAGATTTTTAAATGGCACTCTCGGTATATTTCTACTTTATTCAATAGAAAATGACACTCTAAGTAGAATGACATATCATATGTCAACTTTTGACATTTTTGCTTTAAAAAAAAATCGTATTTTAAATATCAATCTAGGCTGTGTTAAAAACACTAATTTTTAATCAAGGAGCTTTGGAAAAATAGATTTGATTGTCTAATGTGTTTCGTGTCTTATCCTGGCCGGTTAAAAGATGTCCAAATCGTATTTTTAATTATATCCCAATTTTTTTAAATGCAACGAGGGTGACTCATTATTATATTTGGAAAAAGCATTTTTTAAGAATAATTTGATACCATGCACTTGGTATTTCGAGTCAAATTGTAGTTATGAACCGCATGTTACAGTTTCAAATAAACCATATGCGAAAATGTCAAAAGTTGATATAATATGATGTCACTTTCAAAACCAATAATGACCAAAAAAGTTGTGGTTATTTCCGGTGAAACAGGAAGTGATTAAAAACAACTGAATACGTCAATCATACCAAATCTCATTTTTTAATCGTACCATTTCTCATAGGGAATCTCCCTACAAGATGGCACATGTTTTTTGAAAGACCCTGTATTCAAATTAAAAACTTACCTCAATTACGATAGTGTTCTCTTCTATGTAACTCACATGCCGATGATCCAATATACCAGTAATAATTATATTTTTGTTGCCTTCCAATTTATTACCAAGGTTCTGATTTTTGGATAAACTGCACACTTCAAGCAGAGTGTTCATTGCTGTAATCTGGATTTCTCTAGTAGAAGATTTACAACATGCCGAAACTACGAGAGATTCGAGCCAAAGAGGCAACTTCATTTCTCGAAAAGATGTTAACAAATTAGGAAATGCGCAGAATTCTAGTAATAAGTTGGATGCTACGCTCATACAATTTTCATAGTCCGATTTTAAATCTTCCACATGACGAAAGGCTGTTAATATTTCGTTTTTAATTTTTACTGTATAATCCACTGGGCCAAAGTCGCTATCGTCATTTGACATTCTATTGTCTAATAGTTTTTGTAAGCATTTTATCCTTTGATTTCTGTCGCACGTTAACGATTTGAAAAATTCTTTAATATCAGTCTTTGGAAGGATCTTTGATTGAATGAACGCTACATAGAAGGTTTTATACTCTTCAAGACACTGCACGAACTGTTTGTTTTCATACTTTGTTTTCGTAATAGCGACTGGAGTACTTTCCTTCGATGATGGCTCAGAAGTTTCATCCGTACTAAGAGTTACTGTTTCATCCCCTTCGTTTTTAATTTCGGAAAGTTTGGAACTGGATTTTGATTTCTTATTCTTGGATTTTTTCTCTATTTTTGGGCTAGTTTTATCTTTCTTCTTTAGGAATTGATTACTATACGACCTAAATTGGAGAAGTAAAATAGAATCAATATAAAAAAAGTTGTCCTAAAAGTAAAAACCACAATAAAATTAATAATTTCCAAATAAAAAAATAATTTTTGGCATCTATTTTTTTTTTCATCGAGTTTAAATTTTTTAATTATTAAAATATTCCCAAAATGTTAAAAAATCTATATTTTTTAAAGTCTCTAGCCAAGTCTCTAGGCATTTTTACAAACTGCTCCCACGACAGTTGTTGCGAACTGTTTTTTATATGTATATACACACATTGTATACACGGTGGTCCGAACTGTATTCCGGAAATTCCGCGTATTCTCCAGATAAAAATAAGTAAAAAAGTTCATATAAATGTATGTCCTAAAATGCTTAGTTTCGGAAATACAGGATGTAGAAATTTCATTTTTATTTCGACTTTTTCCAAATAATTTCTGAAGTAACGTCAATATTTGGATGAAAATTGGTATCTGGGAGTTTTTTGACATGAGAAATTTGATTTTGATGTCAATATGACTCTCATTTATAGAGGGCGCCACCTACATGTGTTTTAACTGTTTTGAAGAGCAATAACTTTTCGACGGTACTTGTATAAAACTACTGACTAAAAAAATATACATTTCTATGACTTTTTACGTAAAAAATGTCTCTTGGTAAAAGTCGCTACGAGCAACCGTTCTCAAGATATTTAAAATGGCAATACATGTCATTATTGACAAAAAATAAGCACACGTTGAATAGAGTTATTTGACTGAAATAATAAATTTTAATTTTTTTAAATTAATCATAAATTTTTCTGTGAAAAAATGATTATTAAACAATTTCTGTTGAACTTTTGGCACAAAAAGATTTCAATTTTAAGATTTCAGTCTAATAACTATTTGGTCAATATGTTTAATTTGTCAATGATGACAGGTATTGATAATTTCAATTTCAAATATCTCGAGAACCATTACTCGTAGCTCAAGTTTTACCAAGAGACCTTTTTTATGTAAAAAAAGTTGTAAATGTATATTTTTTTTGCTCAGTAGTTTTATACAGGTATGGATGAAAAGTTATTACTCTTCAAACCAGTTAAAGCATATGTAGGTGGCGCCCTCTACAAGTAGGAGTCATATTGACATGAAAATCAAATTTCTCATGTCCAAAAACTCCCAGACACCAATTTCATCCAAATATTGATGTTACTTCATAAATTATTTGGAAAAAATCGAAATAAAAATGAAATTTCTACACCCTGTATCTCCGAAACTAAGCATTTGAGGACATACATTTATACGAACTTTTTTACTTATTTTAAACTGCAGAATATGCTGCCGAAGTTTCCGGAATACAATTGGGAGCACCCTGTATATAAAAATTGTGGCAAATAAGTATTATTTATAAACTTTCATGCACAAAATAAATAAAATTTCATTTTGAAAAGTTTTGAGATTAGATTAGATAAAGATATGTTAACTCTGTAAAAAATGACATGCTTATAGTTGTATTATCCATAAAACAATACGTTTTATTGTTAATATTAAATTATTTACAAAACATATGAATTTATAACCATATGTTTGAAATTTATCCACAACAAATCAAATAGATATTCATTAATACCAAATCAAGCTTATTTTAAAATTCTGGCCATTTAAATTGTTAAAATTATACCGATTTGGTCATTTTAGAAGTGTGGTCTGGATTTTAACGTGTAAGACAGTGATGTAGGCAGCTTAATGGAAAATCAAATATATTAAAGAGATAAAAGTTGGGTTGATACATTTCTTCTATGCGGTATTGCCGGATCTTGCATCAAAAGTTCAAACCGCACAAGTAGACGTTTATGGAAAATGTTGCATCTAGGGTTGGAACCTTATTTTTCACAATTAGTTACTGATTTCACTACAGATGTAATAGATTATATTTAGCTTAGATATATTATCTTCATTTCAGTAGTATTACATGAAAGTTTTTAAAATAGTTTTTTTTCTACACAAATTTTCCTACAAACGTAAAAACCGGCAACACTGTATGCCGCTTTAATTTTGTCTGTCTGTCTGTCAACCGGTCAGTATTATACCGGTATATTATTCTCTATCTTACACGTTAAAATCCAGACCACACTTCTAAAATGACTAAATCGGTATACCCAGTACTATAACAGTAGCTATCATATTGCAGCAGATGAAAGTTATAAATTTATATTCAAATGCGCATGATCGGCCAAATCATTTCACACAGGGGAAAGAACAAAAAATATATAAATAATACCAATAATTGGTATGAATTGGTATCAATTATTGAATTAAAAAAAATTGGTATCAATTATTGAATTAAATGCCAAAAAACGGCGTCGGAGATGACTTGGAAATAAAGACAGCTGTCAGTTTCTATGAAGAATAACATTTTCTATGTTACATTATATTACATCATTGATCGGTAATTTCACACCCATCGAACGCCGTTTTTTTTTCCAACATACGGTAATATCCAGTATAAAAAATGCACAGTCATGTTGGAACTATAATATAAAACTATCACAAGGCAACATACTCTTCAGATGAAAATAAGTAAAATAGTTTGTATAAATTTATATCCTAAAATACTTCGTTTCGGGGATTTCGGTTTTTTCCCAATAATTTTTGAATTACACAATTGTCTGGATGTTTTTTGACGTGAGAAATTTGACTCCTACTTGTAGGGGGCGCCACATGATTTTTATAAAACTACTGAGTGAAAAATATCCTTTATTATTGATTTTTTTTTTCGTAAAAAAAGGTCTCTTGGTAAAAATCGTTACGAGCAACCACTCTTAAGATACATGGAATGAAAAGAGTCAATACATGTCATTACTGTCAAAAAATAAACATATAATGTTGACTAATTATTTGACTGAAATGGGAAATTTGGGAACTTTTTTTCAAATTAATCATACATTTTTCTAGAAGTAATTATGATAAGACAATTTCGGCTGAACCTTTGGCACAAAGACGTTTCAAATTTATTATTTTAGTCTAATAATTATCTAGTCAACATTTTTAGTTTCAACAAATTTCGCCAATGATATGTATTGACTAGTTCAATTCAATATATTTCGAGAACCATTACTCTTAGCGATTTTTACCGAGAGACCTTTTTTGCGTAAAATACTGCGGAAATGCATATTTTTAAACTCAGTGCTATATAGTGGAATACAGGCACGGACGAAAAGTTATTACTCTTCAAAACATTGAAAAATCATATAGGTGGCGCCCCCTACAAGTAGGAGCCATAGTGACATCAAAGTCAAATTTCTCATGTCAAAAAACACCCAGACACCAATTTTCATCTAGATATCGGCGTTAGTTGAAAAATAATTTGGTAAAAAATCGAAATAAAAACGAAACTTCTATCATAGTATAAGAAAACTAGTAGCTTTACTCCTTGTCAAATCCTTTGTTCTTTTTCTGCCATTTTATATGACCTTGTTCTCGCGTCCCCTGACCACTGACGTAGCTGATAGTCGTGGTCTATAACTAGGCGAAGTATAGTCGTGGCACTCGCTATAGTTTCACAGAGATGTATTTAGGAAAATATGAGTTCACAATAAAATAAAATAAAAAAAATTGATCATCGAGTAAAAATTTGCTTGAAAACTGAATATTTTCACATTTCGTAGAAGTAACAATTCTTCTGTATCTGAAAATCTTCTGATGGGAAGAAATGCGGAAAAAATATATAATGACATATTTTTATATTATGTATTATCTATTTCAAAGGTTTTCTACAACTTTTTTTTTAATTTAAAACAATTTTAATTTTCACATTAATGTGTTTGTTTTGTAATAATATATTGGTTAAGTAATTTTCATTGGATAACTAATACATTGAACAACACATTGTTACCGAGTCCCGAAGGTACCGAAAGAACCGGGAATTAATAATTTCGAGTCCCGGTTCTTTGATATCTCAAAAGAACCGAGAATTTCCGGTTCTGAACCCTAGTTACCATATTATCAAGAAATTATGTTATTCAACTAAAAAATAAAAAAAATTCCAGATTTTTTTTATCAAAAAAAAATTGCGTAGGAAAATCCTCATATTTCTGGGGCCAAAATATACTACCCCTAAAAATATATGCACTTATTTAAGACTCACCCTGTATAGGGCGATTCACGGTTATGGTACGTTATAGCGTTTTCGAAACCGGAGCTATTTTTCGGAACCGGTAATTTCGGTACCATGCCTCTAAGGAACCGGGATTTCCCGTTTTTTAGGTACTTTTGGTACTAGCAAATTTTTGTTCAGTGATGGTACAGTTCGTTAAACAGCAAGTAAGGGATGGTTGTCAAAAGTAAAATCGATAAAAAATTGAGGTTTTAATGAAAATAGTATCAAATTATTAAGTAGTCATGAGAAAACTAACCTGAACACAAACATGATCAAAAATGACTCTCAAAAAAAACTCAAAGAACAATTTTTTAAATTATTACTACAACCAATAGCAGCACACCGTAAGGCACTCATTTTTTGTCAATCCGTCTCTGTGCTGGGACGCAACGCTCGTACCTCGCAGGTCGACGGACGGAACTCAACTGAAACGCTCTGCAATCTGCCGATATTCGACAGATTGTAAAAACTGGTAGAAAATATTAGGGAGAGTGCAACTACTCTTTTCCTTCTACTATGCTTCTATACTCTGTATCTCAGAAACGAACCATTTTAGGACATAAATTCATACAAACTATTTTATTTATTTTTATCTGCAGAATATTCTGGCCGAAGTTTCCCGAGTATAATTCAAACCACCCTGTATATGAGATAGCGTTTTTTAATAAAAGTGATAAAAATAAGAAAAATGCGATATTTGCATTAAGAAATTTTATAGGAAAAACTTACCTTTCCCTTGCTAAATCCTCTACAGTTAATTCATTCTTATCAGGAAATTCATTTAAGTTCTCATTAATTCTGGAGTCAGATTTACTTTTCTCTATCGTTCGTTGCTCGTCAGCTTCAATTTTAACAGTACCAACCGCAACTTTTTCCGAATTATCCAACGTACTAGCTGCCTGTTCAGTTTCCGTTTGTAACTGAGTCATAGTTAGAGGTTGTATCTTCATAAGAATTTTCGTACACAATTCTAGACTTTTCGATATTTCATAATGGTTTAAATCGGCCACGCAAGAGCTTGACACTTTAATTATTTTGTTAAATAAGTTAGGTAAAATATTTGAAGTATTCTCTCCATATGACTCTATAGGGATAATATCTAATAGAAAGTCCGTTAAAATGCATAATTCTAGAATGTACGGTTGTCCACTACCAATTTCATTAACTTGACAGCGGTCTCGGTACTTATATTTTTTTATATTCTTAACGGCTTCGTCGTACAATCTTTCAATGTACGACCAAATATAGTAACTTTGGAGTGTGTTAAATAGCAAATTTGCATTTTTCACTAGTTCCTGACAATTTTTACTAACAAACTGCTTATTCAAAAGCTTGTCATCGTTTTTTAAACTATTTATATCTCCATTAAACGACACACATCTTACTGACTGATTTTTATGTCTTTGGAGATTAAGACATGACAAATATAAAGTTCGAAATATGTCGTATAAGATGCCATCTAAAATCACAGGACCAATTTGTGGTTTCTCAAACAAAGACGTTAAAAGCCTATAAGGTTTCACGTCAAGAGGAACAACTGAAATTGCCTTTTTCAATATATTCTTTATTCCATCGTTTAAAAGATCGTAGGCTATCGAGTGTTTTTTAGGATCCGAAACTTCTTTATTTAATTCGCCTTCTACTTGGACTAGTGGTAAATTATTTGTTTCTGTTTCAAGAAGCCACGAATATAAACGTCTAAAACAAACAATATTTTTTAGAAATAACATATCCATATAGTAACATAAATTATACCAGGTGACGACGAAATTGTCGCACAGACCGTCATTTCATTGATTTATTATCGTATAAATTTAAAATACAGTTCATCAAAATTCACATTTCCCATTAAAAAACAATTGAATAACATCCGGATTAACCGTAAGTGAGCACGAGGTTAGAAAAAAGACATTTAACCATTATATTAAAAGTCTTTCTTTAAGTAATCAGACATATTTAATTCTTAGTACATATTACTGTAGAACCGCTTTTTATTCTAAATTTCAAGAACATTCAAGATTAGTTTTGATATTGTCGACAACTAAAAATGCCTCTCTAGTCTCTTTAATGTCAAATTGTTTTGATAACTCAGTGAAAAATTAACAATATAAATTAATAAATAATATTCGATATATCGATTACAATCAATATGTGTTTATGCAACAATTTCGGTATCACCCGGTAGAGTAATGAGTAGTAAAAATTAAAATCAATTTGCATAATTACGTTAAGCTATCATTATGTTTGTATTACATTAAATAAACAAACATTCAATTCAAGGATTTTCCGTGGGTAGCCATACCTAACTATATTTGCAAAATTACTATACATAAAAATATATTAAATATTAAAACTCTAGGAAAATGATAGCACATACGTATAATAAGAATATTTGTGTATATTATAAAATTAAAATAAAAAAATTAAATAAACTTAGATCTTAAAAACTTCGGGATAACTAAATTGGCTTCATTTTTGTTGAAGACAAAAAAAGAAAATCAGCGATATTTCTGATTGCCTTTGTCTTTAACACTGACTACTCAATCGTCAGTCTTTCTTCCATGTATATGTTGATTTTATGAAACAAATTAAAATTTTAGTAAAATTGAATATGTCAAAATTTATAAAATAGCATTGTTACAATGAAAAACCGAAGTTAACAATTACGTCCAATATCGTTCTGCGCAATTAGAGCTGATTAGTAGCTCTCGCAGAGAGAAGCATAGGTTTATACGATAACTTTGTTCTAGAAAAAATTAACTAGAAAAGTGCATGTTAAAGTCACGTAAACAAAGTTGTGTGTAATGGCATAGGTTTATCCAAGAAGTTTATAATATTTAAAGTTATAAAGTTCTTAACAAATAGTTTTTTTATATCATTGACTTATTGAAATCAAGATTATACGATATTACGTCAGAGGCCCGATTCTGTAAACATATTTCCTGTCTAGTGACCCATCAATTATTGTTTAGAAATAGGCTAGACAAAAAAAATCGCGCTATGAAGCTTACAGAATCCCACTGCTGAATGCCCAATGGTAAAAAGAATAGTTTTGACATAATATGTCAAATATTCCACAACTATCTTATTTTAATGATAATAAAAGAATTATAAATTCTGTACAACTCTTCACTTTCAATTTTTTTGTAATTGTCTCCACCTAATCTTACTTAATAATTAAATAAATAATTTATTTTTGTTATTCATAATGCTGATTATTCCTGCACAGGGGCGCATATACGGGAGGGGTAATGGGGGTAATTATACCTCCCAGAAAGATTTATAAATAAGAAGATGTAATAAAAAAGAAATAAAATAAAATTCACACAAAAGAAATTTAAAACCACTCAAAATAGAAAATCCAGACCAATCCAATTTATTTGTTCCATAGTCACAATACCTTTAGCAAAATTTAATTTTGAATTAGCTAAATATTGACACTACCCTTCCCAAACTTAATCTCTGGATGCGCCATTGTTTCTGCATTATTTTTTTTATCAATAACTCATTAATAAAAAAATCCCATTTGTTGCGAACTTTTTGGCACGCCCTGTATAATATTGTACTTCCCATTTTCCCAAAACGGTTAAGAAACAATGTTTCGATAATTACTAATAAAAAAAGATAAGAGCAAACAACCTGAACTTTTATCGCAGATTATCCTAACATAATAAGATAACGCTTGCAGACGAAATACTCCACTTATCTGTAAACTATTTTAAAACATTTCCAAATTAAAAACTTGTTTAATAATAAATTTAGAGAAAAGTTTTGTATCTTGAACAACAGTACTGAGGCACCCAATATTTTTACAAATAAAATATAAGCAAAAAATCGATCTGATCAAGAAGGCTGTGACTTTCATACCTAAAAATCTTCTAATGCTTTCAATAAAAATATTAAGAAAGGAGTATATCAAAAAACTTAGGTTGGGCGTGATGGGACATAAAATGGCTGGCTTAAATTCCGGTTTATCAGTGCTGTTCTAATTTTAGTTAAAACGTGTAAAAATATAATGCAGAGTAGACTCAATGATTTGTTGTTTTATTTTACTCGTCAATAAATGTTAGAAGTTATTAAAATTGTTTTCTATTTTTATTAGAAATACAGGGTTCGTATAAATGTATGTCCAAAAATGCTTAGTTTCGGAAATACAGGGTGTAGAAATTTCATTTTTATTTCGATTTTTTCCAAATAATTTATGAAGTAACATCAATATTTTGATGAAAACTGGTGTCTGGTAGTTTTTTGACATGAGAAATTTGATTTTGATGTCATTATGACTTCTATTTGTAGAGGGCGCCACCTACATGTGTTTTAACTGTTTTGAAAAGTAATAACTTTTTGTTCGTACCTGTATAGAACTACTGAGTGAAAAAATATACATTTTCGTATTGATAATTTCGATTTCAAATATCTCGAGAACTATTACTCGTAGCGATTTTTATTAAGAGATCTTTTTTACGTTAAAAATGTCGTAAATATATATTTTTTTACTTAGTAGTTTTATACAGGTACGGACGAAAAGTTCTTACTCTTCAAACAAGTTAAAAATATGTAGGTGGCGTCCTCTACAAGTAAAAGTCATATTGACATCAAAATCAAATATCTCATATCAAAAAACTCCCAGATACCAAATTTCATCCAAATATTGACGTTACTTTAGATTTGGAAAAAATCGAAATAAAAATGAAACTTCTACACCCTGTATTTCCGAAACAAAGCATTTTAGGACATATATTTATACGAACTTTTTTACTTATTTTTATCTGCAGAATATGCTCCCGAAGTTTCCGGAATACAATTCGGACCACCCTGTATATATTTTTATAAGTTATAAAGTAATAAATTTGTTTATAAGTAAATCAAATTGGCGTATCTTGATTAGTTTTGACAAGTAGTAAATAAAAAGCGCAAATGCAAGAAAAACATATGATTAGTTAATTTCAAGTAAATTTCATAAATGATTGGTTTACTACACGTAACGCATACCGTATGATCGAAAAAAAAACGGCGTTCAGTTGGCTGGGAAATGACGATCGATGACATTTCCCGTATAAATTTACGTATAAAATGACCGCGATTTTCATTTCATAGCCAACGCTGACGCCGTTTTTTCTCGATCATACGGTATTATATTGTCATTTACCAGTGAAAAGTTATTCCATAATTTTTTTCGATTTTTGACCGAGGTCTACCCCACGCTGCATAACTAACTATTTCACGGTCTTTTCCGGTAAGTCATAATAGTGTCACACACTGTTAATTTCAGTTCTAGCACAATTTCTTCCTATATTTACCCTCTAACAAAACCAATTGTAAAATAAATAATATAAAATAAGATCAGTAAAACAAATCCACAAAATTTAAAATAAAATTCAAGCGACACGTCAAATGAACCAACGAGATTTGTACAAAATTCAAAGAGCTGTCAATTTTAAATTTAGTACAACTCTCATTGGTTCTTTGAAGTGTCATTCAGTGTAGTCAGCGATAGAATGTAGTTGCGAGAACGGGCCTTGAAACGTCAAACAGAACTGTCAATGATAGGGACCCATGGTACAAAGAAAACAAGGTATGATCGATAACGGCTCCAATTTCGTTAAGTTTGCGCATACCACCTGTGACGTCATACGCCATTACCGCAAAAAAAATATCCATATTATTCAATTGCCACTAATAAAAAAAGACCTAAAATAGGGAAGAATTAGGACATAACCCAAAAGTTATGTCAAATCATCGAGCTTGACATTTGAAAAATTATTTTCACATTTATTATGTGTCATCTGTTTGACAATTTGAAATTGGCGCACGGGGCTCGCCGACCAATGGTGCCGTTTATCACCTCTGACGTAGTGAGCAACCTGCGCAATATCATATCTTGCATTCTTTGTATCATGATAGGGACCTATGATGTCGATACCGTCAACCATACATGAATACATGGATAGAGTTATACCCCTTACTTAATCTTTTTATTCAAAGTTCTAACGTAGTTACCCATAAGAATTATCTGGCATTGCACAAAACACGCGTGATCACAAAAGTCTTGATCATGTACAGTCCCTTCATTTCAATAAATTCCATTTTTTTACGTAAAACAGTAGTGCTTTAAAGATTTTTTCGCTAATCAAGGCCAGCTGCATAAACATAGTAAGCCTTCAGCTGACCTTGACAAAGAATCTATAGAACTAAGTAAATTCCTACTTCGATATCTGTCCTTCAAGTCACGAAAATCCAGTTTGAATTAAAGTAAATAATGTAATATCCGTAATTGTCAACAATTTCTATTTTATAAAATACGGGTAAATAAACTGCTAACCTATTTAAAGACATATCTCTCCTTAAAATGGTAGATAAGGCCGCTGTCACCAACCTTACCATATCGGCGTACAGAAGTTGTTTATTTTGCATGGGAAAACAAATTATTAGCAAATCCAATGCCGATCTTTGTACTAAAACGCTTGAATCTTGAACAGCGGCGCATAGGCCTGATACCTAAAAAAATAAATAAAATAAAATAAGTGACTAATACAGTGATCATAAAAAAAATTGCAGTAAATGGAATTTTTTATTTTGAAGTTATCGGTAAAATATTTTTGAAAAATCAATTCAGCACGTCTAGTACTAGAAAACATAATTCTGGCATATAATGCATCAACTATCCGAAAACTGGACATTAAATGACAATATATGTTTATCGCATATAAAAGTTGTTCAGAATTCAACATTACGCATATGCACCATAGCGTGGCTAGATAGAAGACTCTACTGGTCTCAACCTTGGGGCACCAGGGGGCAACCCATTGTATTCTCGTCTCCCTTACACTTCTACATGCGGGCCTCTGTAGAAGGGGACTGACTCCTTGCGGTGTAGACTTCAAATCCAAGGAGGGAATAGAGAAAAAGGGATATATCCTCTATTATATATTCGGGACAACACAGGTCATATATCATGTCTAAGGAGGGACCAAGTTAAAGAGGTGGAGAAAATGGAGATATATTCTCCAGTCTCCACCTTATGGGTACCTCAACCGGAGACAAGTTCCTTGACTGTGAAGGGCGCGAAGGGCTAAACCACAAGCGGGGAAGGGTGTATACCCTCGTAGGAGGTAAATGCCCGCTCCTCGGAGGATGAACATCTGTTGTCAGAGGAGGATGGGAAATACCCTGTCCCTCCTACAACAGGAAGATCCCCATGTGAGTTATAAACTGTATGATGAGTTATAACTCAAGAAAGATGGACACAATAGATCTTTAAGGTCGCGGTGATTAACCCCCCTATCACTCATTCTACGACGCCGCAACACAGAATTTTACTAGACGCAGCACTTGTTACTTTAAGAAAATAGCAGATACAAAATAACAGCCCGTGTTAAGTCCTTTGTCATGTACCTATTGAATATTAAATATAGGCTCTTTTTTTTGAAGTATTGATTGCTTAAAACCAATAAATAACAGAATAGTATTATTTTCAAAATAACAGTTAACTATTATTTAGGAGTATTAGTTTTGCCTAAATCCGCCAGTTTTTAAAATGTTTAGAAGGCATTCTTGTCATTCATACATAATACTTTAAAATATGACGAATACCAAACTTTTTTTTATATTGGTCATAATGAATTGATTTCGCATAAAATATTTTATGATAACTTCATAATAAAAAAAATATTTGATAACGTTTTGACTATCACTGTATGTAGGTAATATATTATAGAAAATTGTACCATTAATCCGATATCGTGTCCCATTAGATGCAATTGATCTTCCATGGCTAATTTTCGATTATAATGAGACAAGACGTAAGTAATTGCTGGTAATCGAACGGGACTGTTATTAGCGACGCATTGCCAGATGCAAGTATAAAAATAAGCCGGCTCCACACCTTCACAAACGTTTTCTAATAATAAATTAGTTCTGTAATACAAAAAGCATTATTCTATTAATCTTTCTGGAGATAAAGAGAAAAAAATAATATACAAGATGGTCCGAATTGCATTCGGGAAACTCCTGAAACATATTTTACCAATAAAAATAAGTAAAAAATTAGTATAAATTGATGTCCTAAAATGGCTTCGTACAGGGTGTCGAAGTTTGGTTTGGTGTATTTTTATTTCGATTTTTTCCAAATAATTTCTAATGAATTAATGTAAATATGTGTACGAAAGTTGGTGTCTGGATATTTTTTGACATGAGAAATTTGATTCCAATATTAATAATAATAATAAGTCATATTGGCACTGGAATGAAATTTCTCAATTTTTATCCAAATATTTATATCAGTTCAGAAATTATATGGAAACAATAGAAATAAAAATATACAGGGTGTCGAAATTTCACCCCGTATCTTCAAAGAGAAGCCTTTGAAGACATAAATTTATACGAACTTTTTTACTTATTTTTATCAATAGAATATTCTGCCTGTAATATGTCTCCCTGTAATATGTTCCCTAAAACAATTCGGACCACCCTGTAGAAGAGGAATCATGAAAGAAGACGATTGTATTAGGATATTGTTATTCAGAAAAGATATGCGAAGCCAATACTTAAATAATTTAAAATGAGAAAACTTGCGTCAATTCCTGTATTAAACATAGACAGACACAGATATTCTCGTCGCGTATATTATTCACAGTGACAAACGGCTGAAAGTGCATCCACGCTATCGTAAAAACGGCGTATCGGCGTAACGACCTTGAATAGATTTCCAGTAATTCTATTGGCTGAAAAATTCATCTGTCAAAAATTTTATCTGTCAAATACATCTGTCAAAAAATTCAGCCAATAGAATTACTGGAAATCGATTCAAGGTCGTTACGCCGTTACGCCGATACGCCGTTTTTAGGATAGTGTGGATGCACCCTGAAAGTACCTGTCATAAAAACAAAAGGAATGGAATGAATTTATCAGCAATATACATTCATTTGTTAATATTTAGAATCCTCCAGTATTACGTAATCGTTTTCTTTCGTAAATCGAACTACATATACCTAATGCTATATTTACTAATGACATCGAAATTAATTTATTTAGAGGTCATTGATATTTTGCTATAAACTGGCTAAATATTTTTGAATATTATTTTAATTTTTTTTTGTTCTTTGACATTGTAAACATTTATATATGTTTATTTTAACAATAAGACTGACAATATTATTTGTATAATGTTTTGTATTGTCTTTTGTTTGTTTGTGTACCTTGTTTTTTTTTACTTTGTTTGTTAGTTTACCTTTGTCCACAAATTGAAAAATTTTTTGACAATAAAGGCATTTTATTTATTTATTTATTTATTATTTACCTATCAAAATGGTCAGATCCAGTATCCAAACCCGGCAATATTCCGCTAAGAAAACCGCTCAGTGCTGGTCGCAATCTATCTCCTAAAGGTACAAAATGTGTTTCGTATATCATCAACAACGTTGGACGTATGTTCATGGCGGCATGACCCATTAAAGGAAAAAGACCTGAGAAATATTAAAATAAAGGGTTTTCAAAATATGAAAATCATCACTCTTCAGTTCAGTAGTACCCTAAGTGTAGGTTTACATGCATCCGTAATGCATCGTCAGTCGTTGATTTTAAGCAATTTTATTGGTTTATTTCAAGAATGACAGTTTATACTTAAATATAACGACGCATTACGGATGCATATAAACACACCTTTAGGCTCCGGTGTACATACTCGGTTAAGGATGAGTTCAGACTTAAACTAGGTTCAAAATTTTAATAGATTGTTCAATGACTTCTTATCGTAGAAATTAGTTCAATCATTCATTACCAAAATTATGTATTTGACGATTTATATTGGAGCCAGCCATGTTCGAAGCTTAAACTAGACTTCTAATCATCTTATAATCTTATACAAGAAAAATATACCTCAATAAAATTTCCGAGTTTAAGCTCTGTTTGTAGAACTGGGAATAAGTATGAGTTCATAAGCATCCGTCATGCGTCGCCCGTCGTAGATTTTATGCAATTTTATTGGTTTAATTTCAAAAATAACGGCTCATACTTAAATATGATTGGAGTGACGGAACTACAGACGACGCATTACGGATGCATATAAACTCACCTTAAGGCCAGGTTGTACAAACATAGCTTAAACTCGAGTTCAAGTAAACTCTGAACTAGGAAATTCTATTTAGGTATGTTTCTAGTAGTATAAGATGATTAAATGCCCAGTTTAAGCCTCCAAAAAAGGCTGGCTCAATTTTAATAGTGAAATACCTAATTTATGAACTAATTTCAACGATAAGAAGCCATTGTACAGCTTATTAAAATTTTAAACTAGGCTTAAATCTGAACTCACCCTGAACCGAGTGTGAACATGAACAATCGGGCTATAGTAGCCATATATCCCACTCGGATAGCAATACAAAGAGATAAGTTTAAATTTTTGAAGGTAGAAAATATACTGAGCAAATTACTAGTAAAATTTTTCTAGAACAGTGGCTTAGATTGTTTTTACATTTAAAGGACACTGTATATTTTACAGGGTATTTGAAATATACATTAAATTTACTCAGAGGTGGCTGATAAAATTTCGATGTATTATATTTGTGGTTCTGGGTATGGTAACCCCAACAAATTTTAGTGAAATAATTTAGAGCCTACCAGAAACCTTTTTTTTTGTTATTAAAAACAATTTTAAAATTTGCAACTAATTTTAATTTTTGCGTGAGCACCACGAAGGTGACATTTTTTAATTCAAAAATTAATTTTGTTTTTATTTTTTTATAATAATTGTAATATTTTATTGAAAATTTTTAAATATTATCAGAGCAGTTTTATATTCTTAAAACTGTTAGTTTTCATCATCTGCTGATGATGCTAACATGGGTAGCGAAACGCACGTCCAGTAAAAGTAAAGTGTTTTGGTGTATTGTGGTGAGTTAGCGTTTAATTTTGCTGTTGTAACGCGAAAAGTTCCAACCCCCAACTGTAATAATTATAGAGCTGTTCCAGTGTATCTTTTTTCTGTTTGCAGTTTACACATATTTCATTTAATACCTCGAATTCAACAATTGTAAAACCACACATTTAACATTTTAACAGTAACAAAAATAGGAATAAATAAAAATCTAACGATTTTTATGATAAATGACTGCAAGCTTTTATACTCGTTCGCAGTAATCTGGATAATAAATTACTCATTAACTCGTAGTATTAGTATAAATCAAAATGTGAACTAAAACGAGGTAATTCTTTTAACATTGTACAACAAAACATTGACCTTATTTCCTTTAGTATTTTATTAAAAGTTTTTTAAAAGAAGTATAATCCGCTAGATCAAGGTATTAAAAAAAACACATGCATAATATAAAAAATGCATAATGTAAAAATACATAGATATTATATCTATAATACAAATTTTTGAAATATGACCAATTTTAAAATAAATTACCTCTATAGAGTATATTTTAGTTTATATTTTCCAAATGTTCATACAGTCTTAGAGAAAATTAAAAAAAAACATGAAGATATAGTGTGTATTTTTGGTCCAAAAAATCAAAAGGCGTTTCTATGGCAATATAATTTCGATTTCATTCGATTACTTTGCTGTTGTTAAAGTATCACATTTTCCGATAACTATTATCACCCTTTCCGCAGCATTGAACTAAATAAATTTTGTGTCTCTAACATTTTAAAACAGCAAAAAAATATGACGTTAATTAAAATTCTACCAATAACAATCTATCAAAGAATGAAAAGGAAGTATATTACAATAGAAACTCATTTGATTTTTAGGACTTTATAGCAAAAATATTTTAGTTTTTTTTTGTATTTTCTCTAAAACGGTTATAGAAATTGGGAAAAGTATAAACGGAATTGACCATTTTAAAGCAAGCAAAAATTTATATGAAGAATGCATTTTTTGCAAAATGTCAATAATAAAAAAGTTTTTCCTCTTGTAAAGACCATCCAGGGACATCCTGTATGTAAACCAATGCGGACCAAGGTGGAATGGCTTCTAATATCTATAGTTTAACTAGCTGACCTGGCAAACGTTGTTTTGCCATATATAAATTATTCCTAGGATTAATCTCATCCCTCCTCCGTGCTGTTGACTGGGTCAGAAGTCAGAAGTGACACCGGTAGACACCTGGCTGGGATAACTAACTGATCAAGTGATTATGTGTATAAATAAATCAGTTATCAACCGGGGTTAAGAATTATTGAATTACTAATATATTAAAAAATAGGGGTCGATGGTAGAAGGGTGAAAATTTAGGGTTTTATGTGTTTTTTATTTTATTAAAAAAATAGTTTAACTAGAACAGCTTAAAACAAAAATATTTCGGTGATATCTCAGTAATCATGGTTTAAATACTTAGTTATAAAAATGTCAAAACTATTACAAAAATGGGTTGTATATGAAGAAAAATATTTGTTATATCGAAAATCTAATAACAGGTGTATTCCTTATCAAATCGGTTTCTATAAACATTCCTATTTTGATTGTTTTCATTATCTTTATTTACACTAACTAAACTATTAAATCTAATTAATAAAAAACTAGATAAAATTGATAATATTACAACATATAGATATAAAAGGCAAATCAACGATTTCGCAAGGTAGATTAATATCATTAATGTTCAAATTTTAAGGTTTTTACCCATGTTTGTTTTTTGTGAGCGATACTTCATTTTTCACTTATCTTGTTTTTTACATAGACCCTCAATATTTGTATTTTATCCAAGTATAGATTCCACATTGGAGACCATTTGGAGACCTTCCATTGCAGCCGCGAGGATCTATTGTGTCTCAGATATACAACATTAAATTTCACCCTCAATACCCAACCTTTTTAATATATTTAGTATGTCCAACGAGTCAGGGAAGATTTCGATGGACAACATCCAAAAGATGACAGGAAATACAATTTATCTATGAATTAAAATGACAGACAGAACCGTCACTGTCAGGGATCCTCTCTTTGGACACACAACATACTATATAAGCGTTGATTGAAAGAATTGGGAAGATACGCAACCTAATGGGCGAATTCGTGACAATAAGGCTGATTTGATTTCCCCTTACGTCCCAAGCCCTGTACGGTGGAGACACCAATCGTTCTGCGGTGAACGCATACAACACTTATTTTCTCTAATTCGGCCAGCGAAGGCATATCGAAGACGGTGTATGGATCTGAAAGCAACAGTGCCATATTACAAGGTGTAATACCTATCTGTAATGGGTTTGACGTAAATAAATTTGGATGAAAAATCAATGTTTATGTATTGAAAATTTATTCGTGATAATATTAATGTCGTATGATCGAAAAAAGTCATTTAGTTGGCTTGGAAATGACGAAATTATTGACATTTACCATAATATTTTACCTATGAAATAACACAGCGATATTTATTTCCAAGCCAACTCTGACGCCGTTCTTTGTTTAATCATATTATATTATATTAAATTGTTTAATTATAGGAAATCCGTATTATTAACGTACTGTACCCAAAATCCGTAAATCTACGGATTAATCAGTAGTTCTGGCAACACTGTCTCCGGCAACCCCTTCTCTGTCGACTGAAAGCAGAACTTACAGAAACTACGATACAGTATTCTTTATCCGCTGCGGTGTAAACGACTATCAGCGCACAGCGGCGCAGAGCTAAACTAAATCTCGGAATTCTCGGACAGGCTGACGGTAACGCCAGCTACATCTCGGACAAGTTTTATGCCACGAAATCGCCCATAAGGTTGCACGTCTTCTTATTTCTTCAATCAACAATATAATGTAGGTTGTTTATATAAGTTATATACCCCGCTGGCAAGCGAACCTTTAGGTCGACGTTTAAATGTACAGGAGTGAGTCGTTATGGCGAACTAGTCGGAGTAAGCAAAAATACGAAGTATTTATTACATAAGTACTTAATCTGACGCTAGATTCCATGCGCTTGGGAAAATACTCGCCTTCTGTCTCTATTCAGTACATCTTATTTTACTAAGCGTGTTGGCCGTACTCTTCGTACACATGAAAACCGGCACCCAAGACCAGAAATGCCGACCCTTAGTATAGTATCAGGGATGGTGATCCTTTATGAGATGTAGGTAAAATTTTGTTCATAATTTTTTAGGACCAGCATGTAGGTCACTAATGCCTAATGCCCCTTTGCACATTCTTTTAACTGAGTATTTTTAAAACTAAATATCATTAAAATTCAATTGGCTTAACTGGTAAAAATGAGCGCCATTTGACGATTTAAAATTATACACTTTATTTGATATTTTGTAAACACTTTTACAGTATTTCAAATAGTACAAACGGATTTGTCGTAATATGCGCAATTTTAGAATTGTAATGATCAAACTGAAGGTTATAGATAGCATTTAAATTGCTCGAAAAAATGCAACTAGAATATTAATTATATGCACACCAAATTAGAAAATCTAAACTAGCTAGCTACATAAAAGCGTAAACAAACAAATGGTTGTCGAGCAATCGTGGCTC